CAACCTCAAATTTATTCATTCGACGGTTAAGAAATTAATATTTTTTCCTTAATATTTTCCTTCCCAACCAGTCAAAGATTATGGCTGACTTGGATCACAAGATTTTTTCTAACATAATAATTAAATGGTTCAAATTCTCCATTAATATTAACTGTATAGTGTAACATTTTAAATTTGTATAAGAGACAATGATAATATTTTGCTTAAAAAAAACTCATCAATTTAACAGATTAAAAAAAATAAGGGCGTTGCTTAACACATTTATATTGAATATAATTAAGTTTAATTTTATTTATTTAATTAACTATCTCAAACTAACATGTCATACACATGTCTTGAATCAAAAGTTCAAGACTATTTTTTTTTTATTTCTTAAGAAAACTCAACGCTAATATATTCTTATAAATTAATAATTTTGTAATAACTTGTACTAATTAAAAAAATATTTTATAAAAAATATTTGTAGATCTTTTTTTAATAGAAAATATATTGGCGACATGCTTTTTGATAAATTAGATTTTTAGTCTGTATTAAATTTGACTCGATTTTGATTACATGCATATAAATTAATATTCAATTTTGATTACATGTATATAAATTAATGTTTTTTTAAGTCAATTCTATTATATTTTGTGGATTCTATAATATAAAACAGGGCGGGTTCAATAAGTCCATCCGCCGGTCTCAAATAAACTCATCCAACGGTCACCAACATCTCTCTCAATATTATTTATATTGAATTTTACCTTCCTCTTTTCACTATTCGCTCTATTTCTTTGGCAATGGTGGAGAGAGGAGAGACTTGAGACTAACCTGAAAAAAAATATATTTTTTAATTATATATGTTTTATATATTTTTTTAGATTAGTTGGACCACTGTAATGATTTATGAAAAACAAAATTAATTGGATTAAACAAGTTGGGTACTAGAACAAAAAAACAAAAAGTCCATACCAAATCTCTTAAAATTAGCAAACTAAAATTGATTTCTTAGAATATTTGTATGATTTGTTGAAGTCTCTCTTGGTTCTAAAATTATAGAATATATAGTCAAAAATGAGTAAAATATATAATTTATAAAAAGATTAAAAATTATAGAATATTGCTTTTATTTGTATCAAATAAATTATATTATTGATCCTTAATGTATAGATGCTATCTTATTAGTTTTTTTCAAATAGACCTTTTTTATGTTTAATAAATTTTTAAGTATCAAATCTAATATAAAAAATATAAATATATCACACTATTTTTATTTATTATACTTAAAGTGTATCCACTTTAAATCATATATTTGACTCTGTCACTTTTTCAAATTAATCGGTTGGTTATATTGCATTGTACCTTCAGGCAGTAGTTATATATATATATATATATGTCAAGTTTCAATTAACTAGATCTCCCTTACCTCATTTTCTTCACCAACACCTAAACAACTACTATTTCGCAAAGAGGCATTTCACCGACTTTAATTGAGTTAACATGAGCCACTAATAGTCATAAACTCCCCAATATTTCTTATATTAGTACATCTACTCATTTGCATCGTTTACTTTAGTAAGATTACACTCCGAATCCCAAGTGATTGAATTTTTAGGACTACTTAAAAAAAGCATAGTTAAGTGTATTTCTTATATCAAGCAATAATCTAATTACAAATACACTTTTTCGTGTAACATATCTATATCGAGGAAATAAACAAACTTTCGGGCTTCCTTGGGCGTGAGTGAGGTCACTAAGGAAAGCCCTGAAACGTACATTTAATTACAGGGGACTTGACCCAAGACGTGGTCAAGAAGGTTCTGAACAGGGCCTTTAGCTGTCAGAGCTGCCTGGGGTTAAACAAGGCTAACCAGGGAGGGAATCAAAGCTAAGCGCCCATTTTTAATCTCTTTCACCCTCAGTTCCTCAAAAGCTACAGCCTACAGTACAGGGTCTTTGGAGGGATTTAAATTTAAAACAGCAAAACAGTGCACCTCCGGGACCGGGATAGGGATAATTAATGTCACCAGGCGCACAATATCTACTCCAACCTATGCACATGTACAGAACAATAGGCTTTTTAAAAGTTGAGCACAAAACAAAAGAGATGATTATGCTTGCAAATCATCTGATGAGACTCAGATTTTCTTTCCTTGTTACCTAGCAGTCATCATTCAACCAACATATGCACATAAGTAGTATGAGGACTTTTATAAGGCCACAATCAATTTCTTCAATGCAGGACACAAAAGATGTTTCCATATGAGTTGCAGTCTTCCACCATTATTTATATGACAATTTTCAATAGTTGTTTGAGATCTCTCTTTGTTATTTAGTCACCATCTTATGAGTGACTTTGAATGCCCACCCTACATAAACTTTGTCCCTTCTAAATCTCATCTTTCAATATTCCTCTACGGGAATTGAAATCGTCAATTACTCTCCCAACCACGTTACACACCCATCTCCACCCAGCCATCACATTAAAATCCAACTCAACTTCCTTAGCTTGTCACCCTCTTTCTATACCAGCATATAAGCAATTCATAAATACGTGTTTCTATATTACGTATATGCCGGTTGTAATCATATCAACACACAATTTGATACATTAACGACCATCCATCATGGATTTGAGTAATATCATTGAAAATAAGATCTAGTCAGGAAGTATCAACTATATCTTAAAATCAAGAGAAAACTAGTTCATAATTTAGTGTAAACACACAGAGGGGGATGACGGGGGATTTACAAGGACACAAAATGCAGATTGCAATTTAGATGGTGTGGGGTGTGATAAGAGTGTAGGGGCCTGTTCACAAAGTAATTTGTAAGCTTTTTTGGGGTTTGTATAAAAATGGGGTGAGAAAAGGATATTATTGTGGTGAGAATAGTCACACTCTATTTACATTGACCTTCCTCATTTCCTTTTTTTTCCCTTTGAGAACAAAGCAAGAATATCAAATTTTAATGCTTTAATAATAGTCGGACTAGTTGGTAAATTTTTGTCTTAGGCCTCCTTCGTAACACGACTCCCCTCCAAATCAAAAAAATAAAAAATGAAAAAACGGCCATGTTCTTGGAATCCCATTAATAACATAATAATATTTTTGTAATCTTAACATCATCATTCACTGATTATTAGTTTTTTTGAGGGTCAATCTCCCCCCTTGAAATCAAAATGGTATTATTATGAGAAATTTGGAGGCCGATCTCCTTAGATGGACTTGTTTGGAGATAAGTTTTACAAAAAAATTTATTTGGTTATAAGTCCACTTTTGGTCAAATTTACTATTGTACCCTTATTTTTTGAAAAACAAAAAACGGCGTCTAAATCACTGCTCTATATAGAAACTTCACCCTTCATTCTATCCTACAAATTCGGCAAAGATTCCTCAAATCTTTTTGGGTTTCTTTCTCCGAAAACCCTTAACCTTCATTACCTAAACTGCTTCAATTCAAAATTCAAAGAGGTTACAAGACCATAAGAGCAAAAATCGATTCTACTCTTCAAGTCCCATTGGTGAAGTTACTTTTAGAAGTTTTGTAAATTTTTAATTTTTGAATTGTATTTTCACTATAATATTTAAAATTTTGATGTTACTATGAACACAATATAACCTTGTAATTTGTGAAAGTCGATGTGTTACTGAGCAAATTAAAAATGTGTGTTATATAATATACATCTAAAAGGTTTGCAACTGAAAGTGAAAAGGTGAATAGTGGGGTTGGACAATGTTACGTATAGAATAATCTTCAAACCATAAAATTGTAACATGTGTACTATAAATTGTGTTTGTCTGATGTTACTCAAGATGATGTTTCTGTGATTTAATAAATAATTTTAATGTTGCTATCCTCATGTTATTATATGTATATCATGTAACTTGGTGACAAAGATCAAACTATCGTTTCGAAACATCGGAAACGTTTCCGTTTCTAAGGAGACCGAAACGAATTAGTGATGCAATCGAAATTCTAATACTTCGAGATGTTTTATAATGTTTCAAAATATTTTTGTAATATTTTATTGTATTTGCATAATTATTTCAAAGTATTTCAAATTTTTTTGATATATTTTGACTAATATTTTGAAAAAATAATTCTAAATTTTTTATTATTTTTCATTTTGTTTTCGAAACGAGTCGAAACGTGTTCGAAACATGTCGAAACAATTCAATTTTCTAAGTGACCAAAACAATGCATCGAAACAAAACTTTGATCCTCATTTGGTGGAACTGTTCATGCTACTTTTACTAAATTAATGTGTTATATAATTACATGCGAGCATTTTTTGTTGCTTTTTCATTGTTCAAGACAATCGAAATTCACTAGTTCAAAATACCGTGAAAATAGATCATGTTATCGTGTGATAACTATAAAATTGATTTCATAATTTTAATGTATTGATGTGGTTGGGTACTGTGGATGTTACTGTAAAATTGATGTTACTAATCACAACGTTTGGTTTTATTTTGAAAATTAAAGGTGCATGTTCAGCATGTGTCCCTCAACGCTTGGTTTTACTTTGATGTTCTGTTATCCAGATTTTAAATTTGAATTTGAATTTAAATTATTAATGGAAACTTTTGATTTGAATTTAAATTAATAGCACAATAATTTTGTCGTAATTCAAGCATCATAATATGATATATTCGGTTTCCATAAAAAATTGAATAATTTGGTACCATATATATCTCAAACATCTAACCTATGACTTTCTATAGGGGTGTTTTTGAGATTAAAAAAAAAAGTAGACTTAAGTTATTATATATAATTTTAAACATGGATTTAGTCCCCCATAAATTTCCTTGTTAGATTTATTTCTAAACAAGCACATCTAAGAAGACTCGCATATAATTTTCAGTATTATTATTATTTTCGGCCCATTTTAGGGCTTGATTGGGCTAATACTATTTAACAAGGGCCCGTCGTCGACCCAACTGACCTCACAAACCGCATAAGACTAAAAGGGCTAATAGTATTTAACAAGGGCTTCATTTGATTCGCCGAAATTCAATTCACACTCTCTTCCGCTGCAGAGTGCAGACTAAGGTGAACGGGAGAGGCGGTTCATCCGCACCAATTACCAAAGACAGACGAGGTTCGGTATCTAAATTATATTTGTGTATGTATAGTGGTATATCGTTCTCTTTCGCTGATATGCCCATTGTCGCCTGGGAGAAGAAGCAAATATAGAGGAGGAGGATTGTTGTGGGCGGGGAAGATCCGTTGTTCCTTAGAGCCTTTGAGTTCGTTTCCCTATTTCTATCCCCTTTTGTTTGTAAGATTTCTCATATTCGATCTGAGAACTTGTTATATATAAATGTTGGACGCGTTTCCTTTTATTTTTCTTGTTAATTTTTGCTTCTCTAGTTATTTATTTTGATCCTCCTGTTCTTCTTTTTCACGTTATTGGAAATTAGTAAAACCAGGGCTTCTTTGTGTGCACTGACTCTTCAACTAAACTCTACTAGTATTTGTTTGGTGTGATTCAGGGTTTCCGAGATTTCGGGATGTCGCATATAGGCGGTGGTGCGGAAGCACACGCTCGATACAAGCAGTACGAATATAGAGCCAACTCCAGTCTTGTCCTGACCACCGACTCTCGCCCTCGTGACACCCACGAGCCCACCGGCGAGCCTGAGTCCCTCTACGGTAAAATTGACCCAAAAACCTTTGGGGATCGTGCGTATAGGGGTAGACCACCTGAGTTGGATGAGAAACTCAAGAAGTCTAAAAAAAAGAAGGAACGGGAACCACTTACTTCTGAACCCATGCCAAGTCGGCAGAGCAAGAAAAGACGCCTTCAGGAAGAAAGTGTCCTGACTTCCACCGACGAAGGGGTTTATCAGCCGAAGACTAAGGAGACTAGGGCTGCTTATGAGGCCATGCTCAGTGTGATTCAACAGCAGTTGGGTGGTCAACCGCTGAATATTGTTAGTGGTGCGGCTGATGAGATTTTGGCTGTCCTGAAGAACGACACCATCAAAAACCCTGACAAGAAGAAGGAGATTGAGAAATTACTGAACCCCATACCTAGCCACATCTTTGATCAGTTGGTTTCAATTGGGAGGCTCATTACTGATTACCAGGATGGGGGTGATACAGGTGGATCTGCTGCGCCTAATTCCGATGATGCTCTTGATGATGATGTTGGTGTTGCTGTTGAGTTTGAAGAGAATGAAGAGGAGGAAGAAGAGAGTGATCTTGATATGGTACAGGAGGATGAAGAAGAAGAAGATGACATGGTGGATGAGGATGGTACCGGGGCTATGCAGATGGGTGGTGGGATTGATGATGATGACATGCAGGAAGCTAATGAGGGAATGACCCTGAATGTTCAGGACATCGATGCTTATTGGCTTCAGAGGAAGATCTCTCAGGCTTACGAGCAACAGATTGATCCACAGCAGAGCCAGAAGCTTGCGGAAGAAGTACTTAAAATTCTAGCTGAAGGTGATGATCGTGAAGTTGAAACCAAGCTGTTGGTGCATCTCCAATTTGATAAGTTCAGCCTCATCAAGTACCTGTTGCGAAACCGGCTGAAGATTGTGTGGTGTACACGTCTCGCTAGGGCTGAGGACCAAGAGGAGAGAAACAAAATTGAAGAGGAAATGATGGGTCTGGGGCCAGATCATTCTGCAATTCTGGAGCAATTGCATGCCACAAGGGCCACTGCAAAAGAGAGGCAAAAAAACTTGGAGAAGAGCATAAGAGAAGAGGCTCGCCGCTTGAAGGATGAGAGTGGTGGAGATGGGGATCGGGAGCGAAGGGGACTAGTGGATAGAGATGCGGATAGTGGTTGGTTGAAGGGGCAGCGCCAGCTGCTTGATCTTGACGGCCTTGCATTTCACCAAGGTGGTCTGTTGATGGCGAACAAAAAGTGTGAGCTTCCTGTGGGATCTTATAGGAATCATAACAAGGGATATGAAGAGGTTCATGTGCCAGCATTGAAGCCGAAACCACTTGCACCCGGTGAAGAGCTGATAAAGATTTCTGCTATGCCAGACTGGGCACAACCCGCATTCAGAGGGATGACCCAGTTGAACAGAGTCCAAAGCAAAGTTTATGATACTGCCCTTTTCACAGCAAAAAATATTCTACTGTGTGCTCCCACTGGGGCAGGGAAGACCAATGTTGCAATGCTCACCATACTTCAGCAGATTGCATTGCACAGGAATGAAGATGGGTCTTTCAACCACAGCAATTATAAGATTGTCTACGTGGCACCAATGAAGGCCCTTGTTGCTGAGGTGGTTGGTAATCTCTCTAATCGTCTGCAGCATTATGGTGTTCAGGTGAAGGAGCTCAGTGGGGACCAGACACTGACTCGTCAACAAATTGAAGAAACTCATATTATTGTCACAACCCCAGAGAAGTGGGATATCATAACCAGAAAGTCAGGTGATCGTACCTATACGCAGCTTGTAAAACTTCTTATTATTGATGAGATTCATCTTCTACATGATAATAGAGGACCTGTACTGGAAAGTATTGTTGCAAGAACTGTTAGGCAAATTGAGACGACAAAAGAGAACATTCGACTAGTTGGGTTATCAGCTACGCTCCCTAACTATGAAGATGTGGCATTATTTTTGCGAATTGATTTGAAGAAGGGACTCTTCCATTTTGACAATAGTTACAGACCTGTCCCTCTTGCTCAACAGTATATTGGAATCACAGTAAAGAAGCCACTGCAGAGATTCCAGTTGATGAATGATGTATGTTATGATAAGGTTATAAGTGTAGCTGGAAAGCATCAGGTTCTTATTTTTGTCCACTCAAGGAAAGAAACAGCAAAAACAGCTCGTGCAATTCGAGATGCTGCACTTGCTAACGACACTCTCGGTAAATTCTTAAAGGAGGATGGTGCTAGCCGTGAAATTCTTCAAAGCCATACAGATCTGGTCAAGAATAATGATCTTAAAGACCTGTTGCCCTATGGTTTTGCAATTCATCATGCAGGGATGGTTAGGACTGATCGTCAGCTTGTTGAGGAGCTATTTGGTGAAAAACATGTGCAAGTTTTGGTTTCCACAGCAACTCTTGCTTGGGGTGTCAATTTGCCCGCTCACACTGTTATTATAAAAGGCACACAGATCTACAATCCTGAAAAAGGAGCATGGACTGAGCTTAGTCCTCTGGATGTCATGCAAATGCTTGGTCGTGCAGGGAGGCCTCAATACGATTCCTATGGGGAAGGAATAGTTATAACGGGACATAGTGAACTGCAGTATTATCTATCCTTGATGAATCAGCAGCTTCCTATTGAAAGCCAGTTTGTGTCCAAATTGGCTGATCAGTTGAATGCAGAAATTGTCCTTGGAACTGTTCAAAATGCTAGAGAAGCATGCAATTGGCTCAGTTATACTTACCTGTATGTTCGCATGTTACGAAATCCTACGCTTTATGGCTTAGCGCCTGATGCTTTGACACAGGATATATTATTGGAGGAGAGAAGAGCAGATTTGGTAAGCACCACACTCCTATTGTTTACCTTATTTTGGAATCCTTGTTCTGATATTTGAATATTGATTGCTTATCTAACTTCTGTTCAAATTACCTTCCATTTTTGTGTGCATGTTTCGAGTATATCAAGTCATTTTTTTATTATCTTCAGATCAAGTTGATAGTTTCCGTCTTTTTTTCTTTGATCCTAGTGGTGCCCCTCCATTGGGTGCAGTTAGGGATGATACGATAGAATTATAGTTCATGATGTCGATAGTGGGCCTTGCAAAATTGCAAGCCACTTTGTAACGAGGATCAGTTTAGGCAAATCAGTTTAGTAAGCGACAAACCAGGGTGCAGATCTTTTATTGATAGACGTGGCATTAGTACTGGCCAATGGAGCTTAAACTGATTTGCTTTTCAGTACGGACACCAACAATCAAAGAAAATGGAGTTTGTAAAGAAGTAAAAGAATTCTTGATGTAGCCTACACGATCCCAATCAATTCTCTTCACTAATAAGTTATGGTTTATGAACATTGTTTTCAGTTTAACATAGTAAGACTGAGGCGGGAGAAATCATGGTCATGGAGACCTCTTGGAGCTTGATGATAGGGATGAGCTGATCTTTGCCTTGGCGTCTCTTTTGATTCTTTTTCTCTCCTTTCTTGTGTGGGGGACTGTGTTCAATGAGGGATTTGGGTGATAGGGATATATAAGAAAACTTTGGGGTTGTAAGGAAGAAAGAGGGAATAGGCTGTGAAGTTTTTGGCCTTCGAACATATATGCCTACACACATGTACATACTTACACATGCACATCGTAAGCAAGAAAGAGGGAATAGGCTGTGAAATTTTTGGCCTTCGAACTCCATCTATAGATATATGTGCCTACACACATGTACATACTTACACATAGATACATACTTATATATATGTACGTACCTTTACCTGTAGCAGAATAGCTGGTTGAGGCACCCACCACATAAGCGATGATGATAGGTTTTCTGCTCTATCTTCCAAACAACCCATTAAACCCTTGTATTAGGGAATTTGAAGCTAAAAAGCACAAATGTTTCTAAGAAGGTGATGTGTTTGTGTAGGGCATTGACATTTATACTCTTTTAACCGTCTTTGTAATTAGACATGAACATTCTAATTTAAGACACGTATCCTAGACTCTTCTCAATGTGCCCCTGACTAAAAAAAAAAATCATTGCTGACACTTCTTGAACACTTGCTAGCATGTGATTATCAAAGTTTGATAGCATGTTATGACAAGTCAAGTTAAAAGTTCTATCGGAAAAGGAATAAGGTGCATAAAGGTTTTACTAAGGAAGAAACTTGAGAGGATGAGTGGAATATTACAATTATGTATGCTTACTACACCATCTATAACAAATTATGATCATTAACTACAGTGACCAATTGTTGTAAAAATTCTTGTTACAGTACTAAATATAAAATTAGCTAATCACAAAGTGATGATTTTCTTATATGTATGTTAGGCTTGTCAAAATGCAACAAGACATGATTACCCAACACGAATTGACATAAAGTTAAATGGGTTTTGGTGATACCTTAACAGGTGGTAAACTAGTGGACCTATTTAATAAATTGTCATGTTCGGGTTAGTTATGTCAATCCGTTTACCCATTTAAATAAAATTAATAAAATAATAAATTAATAAATATTTCAATTATTTTTTTTAACTGGTCTAATTATTAAATTGGATAAAATATTTTGTGTTTGTTAATTAGTTAGATTAATTAGTAATAAATAATTTTTAACGATAAACGGGTTAAAAGGGTTATCGTGTTAACCCAACTCTACCCAACGTAATTCGTTTGTTAAACGGGTTAAACGAGTTGTGTAACCAGTTTAATAAATGAATTGTGACCGGTTTATATATTTTCACTTGTTTAATTAAACAAATTGTATAGAGGTTGATTTTTTTTTTCCACATGAACCCGCTTAACCCGACACAGTTGATAGGCCTAATGTATGCGAGTATGGTTTAATCTGTAAGACGTGAATAGCATGGTCTAGCCGCTTTTGTGTACAATTTTTCAGGATATGCCGTAACTAAGTGGCCATAGCATGTAGCGTCCATATCCCGCGTCATGTCTATGCTCCATAGGCTTGAATGTTTCAGCCAGTCTGTGCTGCATAGTTCCGAGGTAATCTTAGTAATCCTAAGAATCAAATCCCACCTTGCTCTGGGTGGTAAGGGGGGCGTTACCCCTCATGTAGTTCCAACCTTCCAACTGCCAAGCCAGAATTAAAAAGATACTTTGTAGAACATGTTATGGTGCCCTGTTTTTAACTGTTTTCTTCTCATTTGTTGATTACCACATTTTAATTGAGGTGATTCTAGATGCTTTGTTGCATTTCACTCTTCTGTTTGTTGGAACTTAAGGTGGTTTTCGTCAATTTCCCATGTGCTTTTAGTATCACGACATAATAATTCTCTTAAAGGTCTTGCAAAATTATTAAGTCCATCCTATTTTTTATATGTTTGTTCTAGTAAGTTCAACCTACATTTTGGTTTTTAATAAATGTCTGATTTGTGATTTTGCAGGTTCATTCTGCAGCTACAATATTAGACAAAAATAACCTGGTTAAGTATGATAGAAAAAGTGGGTATTTCCAGGTCACTGACTTGGGTCGCATTGCTAGCTATTATTATATAACTCATGGGACCATAGCCACATATAATGAGCATTTGAAACCAACAATGGGTGATATTGAGCTTTGCCGGTTGTTCTCCCTCAGTGAAGAGTTCAAATATGTGACTGTGAGACAAGATGAAAAGATGGAACTGGCAAAGCTTTTAGATCGCGTTCCAATTCCCATTAAGGAGAGTCTAGAAGAACCTAGTGCCAAGATTAATGTTTTACTCCAAGCATATATTTCACAGCTAAAGCTTGAAGGACTTTCCCTGACGTCTGACATGGTGTTCATAACTCAGGTGATGTATTACAGTTTATTTGAGGTTTTCCTTTGATTATTCAACAAGAGGATAAACCACTTTTTCTTATATTTCAGAAACCAGTACTTAACCCCTCTAGAGTTTTTGACCAAAAGCCATCAGCTAACATGGTTAACAGTTTACTGTAAAACGATAATAGTACCATTCTTCTGTTTAAATCTTTTGACATCTTTCCTTCCTACAGAGAGAAATAGATTGTTTTATTCTAGAGAGAAAAATGTAGGAAATATGGTATGTGCTAGGCAATAAGAGTTAGATTGACATGTCATTCTGTTGTAAATTTAGGCGGTTGATCTTTGACCAACAATGGAAGTTCTAATGATCACATGGTCCAAAACCACCAGGGGTGAAATGTAGGTTTACAGACCACAAGGAGGTAAACTGTTACCTTAGACCACAAGGACGTCAAAAAGTAATTTATCCTTAACTAAGCCGTTAGATATTTATTATCTAGTTAAAAAAGTTATATATATGTGCACACTTTTTGTTTATGTTTCAATTTACTTTTGCAGAGTGCTGGACGTCTCATGCGAGCTCTTTTTGAGATTGTTTTGAAAAGAGGATGGGCTCAATTAGCTGAGAAGGCTTTAAAATTGTGCAAAATGGTTAACAAGAGGATGTGGAGTGTCCAAACACCGCTCCGCCAATTCCATGGGATTCCAAATGAAATTCTGATGAAGTTGGAGAAGAAAGATTTGGCTTGGGAAAGGTATTATGATCTCTCTTCACAAGAGATAGGTGAGCTCATTCGTGTCCCCAAGATGGGAAGAACACTTCACAAGTTCATTCACCAGTTCCCCAAACTTAACCTGGCAGCACATGTTCAGCCAATTACTCGCTCAGTTTTAAGGGTTGAACTCACAATCACACCAGACTTTCAGTGGGACGACAAAGTCCATGGGTTTGTAGAGCCGTTTTGGGTGGTTGTGGAGGATAACGATGGGGAATATATTCTTCATCATGAGTATTTCATGCTGAAGAAGCAGTATATTGACGAGGACCACACTTTGACTTTCAGTGTCCCAATCTATGAACCTCTACCTCCTCAGTACTTCATTCGTGTTGTGTCGGATAGATGGCTTGGTTCACAGACTGTTTTGCCTGTTTCTTTCAGGCACCTTATTTTACCAGAAAAGTATCCTCCACCCACTGAATTATTGGACTTGCAACCACTGCCAGTGACTGCCTTAAGGAATCCTTCATATGAAGCCCTTTATCAAAAGTTTAAGCACTTCAATCCTGTCCAAACTCAGGTTTTCACTGTCTTGTACAACACAGATGATAATGTCTTAGTTGCAGCGCCAACTGGCAGTGGGAAGACTATATGTGCCGAGTTTGCGATCCTGAGGAATCATCAGAAAGGACCTGAGAGTTTCATGCGTGCTGTGTATATTGCTCCTATTGAAGCTCTTGCTAAGGAACGGTATAATGATTGGAAGAGGAAGTTTGGAGAGGGTCTTGGGATGAGGGTGGTTGAATTAACTGGGGAAATGGCCACGGACTTGAAACTGCTTGAGAAAGGTCAAGTAATAATTAGCACTCCTGATAAATGGGATGCTTTATCCCGCCGCTGGAAGCAGCGGAAGCATGTTCAGCAGGTTAGTCTTTTCATCATTGATGAACTCCATTTGATTGGCGGTCAGGGTGGTCCTGTTGTGGAGGTCATAGTTTCTAGGATGAGATATATTGCAAGTCAGGTTGAGAACAAGATTCGTATAGTGGCTTTGTCAACTTCCCTTGCAAATGCCAAGGATCTGGGGGAATGGATTGGAGCTACCTCTCACGGCCTTTTCAATTTTCCACCTGGCGTCAGGCCTGTGCCTCTGGAAATACACATTCAGGGCATCGACATTGCTAACTTTGAAGCGAGGATGCAGGCAATGACAAAACCAACATATACTGCAATTGTCCAGCATGCCAAGAATGGGAAACCTGCCATTGTGTTTGTTCCTACCAGGAAGCATGCACGCCTCACTGCTGTGGATCTTATGACATACTCAAGTGTGGACAGTGGAGAGAAACCAATATTTTTATTACAATCTGTGGTAGATCTGGGTCCTTTCATTGACGAGATCAAGGAACCTATGTTGAAAGAGACTCTGAAATATGGTGTGGTCTACTTGCACGAGGGCTTAAGTACTACAGATCAAGATATAGTGAAGACACTGTTTGAAGCTGGACGGATCCAGGTTTGTGTGATGAGTAGTTCGATGTGTTGGGGAGTGCCCCTCTCTGCACATTTGGTGGTTGTTATGGGAACTCAGTATTATGATGGCAGGGAAAATGCTCATACTGATTACCCAATCAGTGATTTGTTACAGATGATGGGTCATGCCAGTCGACCTCTTAAAGATAATTCTGGAAAGTGTGTCATCCTTTGCCATGCACCACGTAAAGAATACTACAAAAAGTTCTTATATGAAGCATTCCCAGTTGAAAGCCATTTGCACCATTATCTGCATGATAATTTGAACGCAGAGGTGGTTGTTGGAGTCATTCGAAATAAGCAAGATGCTGTGGATTATCTCACTTGGACATTCATGTATAGGAGGCTTGCTCAGAATCCAAACTACTACAATCTTCAAGGTGTTAGTCACAGGCATCTTTCTGATCACCTGTCAGAGCTTGTGGAGAATACACTGAGTGATTTGGAAGCGAGTAAATGTGTTGAAATTGAGGATGATTTTGTACTTTCTCCGTTGAACCTGGGCATGATAGCTTCGTATTATTATATAAGTTACACAACAATTGAACGTTTCAGTTCTTCTTTGACATCCAAAACAAAACTGAAGGGCCTCCTAGAAATTCTGGCTTCGGCTTCAGAGTTTGAGCAACTTCCAATTCGACCGGGAGAAGAGGAGTTGATTCGGAAGTTGATTTATCACCAGCGATTTTCCTTTGAGAATGCCAAATACGCAGACCCACATGTGAAGGCAAATGCACTGCTGCAAGCTCACTTCTCTAGGCAATTGGTGGGAGGAAATCTATCCTCTGACCAGCAAGAGTTACTCATATCTGCCAGCAGGCTGCTTCAAGCAATGGTTGATGTTATTTCCAGCAATGGGTGGCTTAGCCTTGCTCTTCTTTCTATGGAAGTGAGCCAGATGGTGACCCAGGGCATGTGGGAGCGTGACTCCATGTTGCTTCAACTTCCACACTTCACTAAGGATTTGGCTAAGAAGTGTCAAGAGAACCACAGCAAGAGTATAGAGACAGTGTTTGATTTGGTTGAGATGGACGACGATAAGCGACGGGATCTCTTGCAACTGTCTGACCCTCAGTTGATAGATATTGCAAGGTTTTGTAATCGTTTTCCTAACATTGACTTGACATATGATGTGCTGGACAGTGACAATGTGAGGGCTGGAGAAGAGGTCGGTGTGCATGTGACCTTGGAACGAGACCTTGAAGGGAGGGCAGAAGTTGGACCCGTTGATGCCCCTAGATATCCTAAAGCCAAAGAGGAAGGATGGTGGCTTGTGGTTGGTGATACTAAAAGTAATCAGTTACTTGCCATCAAAAGGGTTACCCTGCAAAGGAGGGCAAGGGTCAAGCTAGATTTTACTGCTCCTGCAGAAGCCGGAAAGAAGACCTACACCCTGTATTTCATGTGCGACTCATATATGGGTTGTGACCAGGAATACAGCTTTAGCATTGATGTCAAAGAAGCAGCAGGCCTGGATGATGACAGTGGAAGAGAGTGAGTGAAATGCTCTGGTGTCACAACATATCCTGGACTACTTGAACTGATTCAAGTTGGCAAAAGGTGGTTAGTGTTTTTGGTGGTGTTGGTACGGTTTCATTACTCCTGTTATTGCTGAACTTGTCGCTGTCTTGATCCTGTGATGTAGCTTGTCATATTACTGTTTTTTTTTTTTTTCCCTCTACTTGAAATGATATGATGTTGATATGATGTTTTTAAATTGTTCTTTTTAAAGTAAAACATGGATTGTTTTTGAGACCTTTTCCTTGGCCGCCTCTCTCTCTCTCCCTGAATTCATTACTACTGTTGATCGTACGCCAGTGAATTTTGAGAACTGTTTTTTTTTTTTTTTTCTGGGCCAAACAAATAGCTCTCTCTTCAAGGTGCTTAATAAGAACCGTTGGGTTGCCTGTGTAGAAAAAATTTGGTTCCCTATCATAACTTATATATGACCACTTTTGATAATATGACTATGCAAAATGTGGCATACCCGTATGTGGCCAATTGATTCTCTGTTTTTTTTTTTTTTCGTTTTGAAAACTGGAGGAAAAAAAACTAGTGTGCATGTTGTGTGTTATAAATAAATTGATTCTAATGTTATGTTATAAATAGATTGATTCTATCCATTGCCTTTGTTGAGTACAGCACATTAACCCTGGTAGTGGTACATACATATCAGGATCAAAATCATGTGTTACTTAAAAGATCAGATTTAAGTTGGTGCTTCTTCTTCTTCTTCTTCTTCTTGTCCCCGAAGAAGAATTGCATAATATTTTGCTGTACTTTTCCCATGTTGTTTAACTGAATAATTATCCGTACAATTAGCAGAGTCTCCACCATTTTTAGTGTGTCATGAATAAGTTTGAATGCATGAAGTAGCATAAATGCCTTTTTTGGGAACTGTGGTGGGAAAATATGGTGTAAATTATGAAGTGTGGAAGTAATCTTGTTCTGGCTTCTTTTTGCGGGTAGCCGTAGGCATATAACTAACATGTAGGCCTATATTCTCAGATTCCTGTTCTTGCATAGCATTTTCTTTCGGTTGGGACTTGCATTTACATACGCACATAACTGATATTTCTTAGTCCTTCTTAATAACAGTTTGTTAGTTGTTTGGCATCCTCTTCTTTCTCCTTCGCGGCTTATGTTCCTTTGTCTACTTTTTTCTCCTTCGGCTTTATTGCTGCCTCTTCCCTCCCTCCCTCCCTCCCTCCCCAAACAAAGATTGTAGGCCCTCCTCACAAATTAACAAAGCAAAGAATCACACACACACACACACACACACACACATAGAAGGATCCAAGACCCAAGATAAAACAATGAAAACCAAGAAGCTTGCCAATTAATCGCTTACTTTGCAAACATGAAAATAGAATGTGATTACAACTAGAATTTACTATGCAAATCTTTAATATCATCATGGTAGCCTGCAGAGAAAGAAAACCAATAGATTTAAGAAAAATAATATAATCACCAGTTTTTACACTAGATTCATACGACGGCGGCATTCTTTTTACGTAGTTTAACAAGGTAAATTCAAAGGCAAATTAACCACTCTTACGTTCTTCAAAGATACAGAGAGTAGCTAACTAGATAGATAGTTTGGATCCTCTCTCTGCCTCTACGTCTCAATCTAGTGGGGGTTTCAATTCAACTTTCAATCCTCGTAGATGCGGCACTCCTCGGTTTCGGGATTCTCCTGGCAAAAGGACTCGAGAGGATCTTGTTTCTCCAGCTTGAGCCGAAGATCGGCCTTGGCTTGGCTGACCTCTTCCACCTCGTCCCAGGCCACCTTGCACTCGTCAGATGTCTCATCACCCTCGCAGACCTCTTTCGCTTCTACAACCTTCTTCTCTATCATCTCCGTCAGCTGTTTCTCTCTCATCTGCGTCCCTTTGAACTTCGCCGCTCCCCCCATAGCTTTGATTACCGTCGAGCATGATGATCTCTTCACCGGGACCCAGATCGAAGAAGATAAACCACCTGCAGCTTCAGATCTGAACGACATGCCTCCGGTTCCTGTTGAAAAGGTGCTTATGGTTATAGCAGTGATAGTAGAAGCCATGGATCCGTTGGTTCCAAAATCCCCAACTAAACAATCAATCCTAATGGAGGTAGTGCTACTAATCTCTCTCTCTCTCTCTCTCTCTCTCTCAATCAATCTGGTTTGGTCTTTTCAAGATCAGCAATCACATTGCACTGCTCATTAAAGATTATTGCCACCGGCTCCAATCCTCCGTTACGTTGGTTAGATTAGGGTTTAGGGTTAGTTACTACCTTGGGACAATTACTAAAATGCCCCGCGTCACGGGCAATGAAAATTGCAATAGCAAGATGGTTTGACCGACGAACATTTCCAAACATGAGCTTCTCGAAAGTTACGTTATTATTGTGTTGTGTGGGCCTCCCATCACGCGGCGAAACAATAATTTTATATTGATCAAATTTTAAAATTAAATTAAGATCTAAAATAACATGACAATATATGATTTGAAATGTTTATTGAGATCTAAATGACATGACACTAAATAAAAAAGTATAATTCAACTGTCATGTCATTTGAACTCTTAATTTGGTCAGTGTAATATTTCTGATAAAAATATTGTATGGGATGGTTGTAATAATCTTAGTATTATAATGTAAAGTAATCGATCAATGATAATTTAATAATTAAGTAAAATAGATAACACTTTTTTAAAATAATCACTCTTTTATGTAAAATAGTAACCACCACATATTTAAAAGGTGGGATTTACTTGTTGAGTTATTATTGAATGACTAGATATTGTCTGTATTTAGAGACACGAAATAATAAAAAAATGAATCGCAAACATAAAAGAAACAAAAATTAATTTAAACATCAGTTGTAATATGGGTGAGCAGTGGTGGTAATGATGATTGTAGTGGATGACGACGACCGTGGTGATGATGGCAGTCATGAGTGGCAATGGTGATGGTGGTGATGTGTTTTGGGTGACGATGATAGTATTGAAAGTCATGGGTGACTGCGGTGGTGGTAGTGGTTTTGGGTGGTGGTGGGTGACATGTGATAGTGGTTAGCAATAATGGTGGTTGGCAGTGATGATGATGTGGTGGACAACGATAGGTGCTTCTAGGCGATAGTGTGATAGGTGATGATGAATGACAGTGGTGGTAAATGTAGGGGTGGGTGACAGTGGGTGGTGACAATGGTGGACGATAACGGATGGTGGTGGTATGTGTGACGACGACGGGTGATGGTGAGTAGTTGTAATGGGTGATAGTAGTTGGTGGTGAGCAATAATGGTGGTGGTGGGTGTTAACAGTGGGTGACATTGATAGTGAGATGATAGTAGTGGCGGTAATAGATATAAGAATGAGATGACAATGATGGTAGTGGTGGTAGAGACGACGGTGGTAGCAATCGATAATGAATAATGATAATGGTGGTGATGGGGGTGATAGTGGGGTAATGACGATGGTGGGTTGGCAGCGGTGGTTGTTGTGGAGGAGGTGGTGGTGGTGGGGTGGCGATGATGGTGGTAGTGGTGACAGTGGTGGTGGTTGTTGTAGATGAGGTAGTGGTGGAGTGGCCGCGACGATAGTGGTGATGGTAATGGTGATGGTGGTGGGGTGGTCGTGACGATGGTGGTGGTGGTAATGATGATAGTGGTGGATGGGGAGTGGGGGGTAGTTGTGATGGTGGGGTGGCGATGATGATGGTAGTGGTGATGATGGGTGGTGGGGCGGTGGGAGTGATGGAGTAGTTCAAAATACTACCTTCTTTTTTTGAATTACTTATGAGAGGTTATAAGTCGTAAAAGTACTTTTAAAAAGTCATCCAAAACACATTTTTTTAGCTCTATTTTTTCTATTAAATTTGTGATGTTAATATTAGTCATCGGATTAACTTTAAAATAAAATTTAAAAAGATCTCAATCGCGAAAAATAAAAATTATTATTATTTTTTATTTTTTGAAATTCGAATTATATTTTATTTTATTATATACATTAAATTATTTACTAATATTGATATGGTGTAGCCACTATACCAAAAATTATTCGGGCCTCAACTAATTATCCTCTTGTTGGTTCATCAATAATGACGACGGTATTGGTAATGACACGAAGATTGTGTTAATGTACTACTTGTTTGGTTACTTTATATTGACTAATATTGTTGAGATTGAAAACATAAACTTAATATTTGAGATTTTTTTATTTAATACATTATTATTATTATTATATCAATAAATTAAATTAATTGTTTTAAACTCAATTTTGTGTTGTGTCTTTTTCATGAAGTTATGGGATTTTGATTTTTTAAAATCAAGTCATATGTTTATAAGTGTCTGTAAATTAAGAAATTTATTTGATTCATATCCTAACAAAATCAATTCAAAGTTTATATAATTCTATATAACATATAATATTAGAACAAAATATACAAATTTTTGTATACTGTAAACAATGGATATGTGTATCCATCCATCCATCATAAAGCAATAATACATGGAAAGATTGAGGAGGGACCACGACGACGAGGTCAGTTGACCCATCCTCGAATTGTAAAGGTGGTAATAAATGACCGTTGATTTTAATTTCAGAAGAATCTACCACTGCAACTGCAAAGAAACAAGACAGTTTCCTCTCCTCACGAAAATGGTTAAAACGCATCCTTCCTTGCACAACCTACACAGTCCGCCTCTCCCACCATGGAAGTGGATGGAAATAGCAACGGTCCCATCCCACAAAAAGCCTCTGCCCAATAAGGTCTCAAGCTGTACCCTCATGGATGAGACCCTTAGAGAGAACCTCCAACTTATTGGATGTTCACAGTGATAAAGTTAACCAATGGTATAACGTTGTTCAACTGATTAAGAAGAGATGTCACCACATTGAGATAAGGAAGTCTAATCCTCTGCAACGGAGAATTGAGTAACGGGGGTAGACAAGTCATGCTCACGTGATGGCCTAGTTGCCACACAAGATAATGTACCATTTCCTTGGGAACAGAATTTAGGTTATATTCGAAGAGACGTTATAATATCTGTATAATTAATACTTGAGATACTTGACATTTAATACGCAACCTTCTATACAAAAGTAGTTGAGACAGTTATAGGTTGGCACAATTGTCGCGTACGACGTTGACTTTTGTAAAAAGATAGTTACAAAGAGTCTCGACTATTCGAGTACTTGTACTAAAAATTATAATTTATAGCATAACATGTGTTTAATGAAATGTTTTCATAAGTGTCTTTATATTTGATTAGATCGATTGATGATTCACATTCATAATTGAGTAACTTTTTATGTCATGTTACGGTGTGTTAAATTCCATAGCGTGATCTCAATAAATCATAATTGCAACTACAATTTCAACGATGGAAAAGAATTATTTCCCTTAGTTGATTGTTCTTGCAGTAGCAAAGCTGTTGGTTTAAACCATTTGGCGTGTTTGTGATGATTGTTCAATGAGTAATATTTTTCATTTGTGTGAGAGAATGGTAATGGGCAAGACACACATCTCACAGCACCAGCCACCACCATTGCTCCTGCCCCATAAGCATCGTCTCAATCCTGAACAGGTCAGTAGTAGGTGGAACTACTTACCCACTTTACACAGCATTTGATTCAATATTATGCATCTAAGTATTATAACACACTTTTCTTTTAAATAATCATTAAAGAAAAATCATATGTAATAATACTCATACCCATATAAACACTTCTTTTTTGATGCTGAATCGATAAGTGACTCTTAAAATCGTTTCAGCTATATGTTTATAAATACAAAAAATTATATCTAATGCACCTATTATTAAGTGAGTTTCTTTTAAGGCAAACTTCAATTTATCCCCATGTGGTATGCCCCCAAACCAAACCACATAGTCTCCCAATCATTTAAAAATGTCCACATATGATTTTGTGGATTAAAGGGCATTGCTAACTCTGTTTACAGGTAAGTTAAAATAACCTTAGTACCCCTATCTCCTTCTTCCCAAGTAAACCCTACCGCACCCTCTATCTGCAACCCAACACCACTGGACAACGGCACAACCATTGCAAACACCACCATGCCACTACCATCGCAAATGAAAAAAAAAAAAAATTAAGGAAAATTGAGTTCAGTCTAGAAGCTAAACAACATAAATCAAACAAAAAATTGAATCAGCACCTACGGGCCAGCTAACTGCCACTGTCCAAATGCTTCCATGTCCGCCAACAAGCCTCCACCACTGCAGCAGCAAAACCCACCAATTAGTGAAAAGAGGAAGAGAGAGATTCCATTTTTTATTCATCAAAGCATAAGCCAAACAGTTGCAGCTAAACCCATCAAGGGTTTCTCAAGACCCATAGGAAGAAGAACAAATAGTTGCAGTTGCAGCAGAACGTACAAAACATATTTGAGTTCAAAATTTTTTCTGTCTTCTGATTAGATGATACCGAAAATGAAGATTGGAGACTAAAGTTTTTCTTTCTCTCTGCTGCCATTCTGCCACCCATATGGAACAATTTTATTCTTTAATATTTTTGATTTTCCTGTTTATCTGTGCAATCGTTTGGGTTCTGCTCTATATTAGTATAAAAATTACCATGCCACCATCAATATGGTTGCTTGAACTTGATGAATCAGTGAGAGAGATGAAGAGAATATGAAGGTTTGAGCTGGTGGCGAGAAGGTTCCCACTGGGGGTTTTCGTTTTTTTTTTTTTTGGGGGGGGGAGGGGTGAGAGTGAGGGTAATTTTGTCATTTAAAAATATATTTTCATACCAACTCTCACAAATTTCAGGTGGATATTTGTCACCACGGATGAAAATATAAGAAACAGGTGGGGGGAGAGAGACAGAGGGAGTGACAGGGGTTGTTGGTGAGGGCACTTTTGTCATTTCAAAATACTTTTTTCATGCCCACCCTCACTGGTAATGGGTGACTTATACGATCACGTTAAAATAGGTGAAAAATGTAACAGTGCACTTTAGGTCACAAAAATCATATGAGGGTTATGCAGACATTTTAAATGATAGAGAGAGAGGCCGTATGCTATTGGGGTATACCATATTTGTCATTATGCTTATAAGGAGGGCTACATTCAAATACATAGGAGAAGAATGATTATGTTTTATTGGTGTGCTTTGCTTTGTATAGAATTGTTCTTTAGGGTGCACAAAATTGAATTGGACACTGGACTTTAAAAGGTGAACTTAAATGTTTGATTTCAATCTTTTTGCTGTTTTACCTCTCGATGAGTAATTTTAACCCATGAGATTATAAAAAATTAAAATTTTCTACTTTTAACCAATGAGATTATGAGTAATTTTATATTTATTACTCAAGTTTCTTTTTTTCTATCGTATTGTTGCATAAAATAGAGAATTATAGAACATTAGAATCAAACTGGTTAAGATTTTCATTGTAAACTGTGTGCAAAGGATGGTGCTCAAAATTTTCCTTTTTTTTTTCTTTTTCTTTTTGTGAAAACATGATGTTTGGAGCTTATTTAATGCCACGCCTTGTCGTTTTTTTTTTTTTTTTTTTTTAAATGTTGCATTAGAATTGTATGATTGTGATCAAGACTCAATAACTAAGAGAAAGAATAAAAGACGCCTGAATATATTATTTGCAAATAATTAATGATATGATAAGGATGTAGTGGAATGATTTTGGATATACTTGCTTAGGAGTTTCATTTCGAGGTTTAGATAAATTCTGATTTTAATTTTTTTGTGATCTATACATTAGATTGAGGAATGATGAGTTTTTAGTGATACAATTCATTCGGCCCATTGAAATTGTTAACTAAGTTTTGGTGATACAGTGCCGTTGTAGTTATCTTATATGATTGCTATATATTGTCATGACATACTAGGTTATTGAACTCTATTATATTCTTGCGGTTGGTGGTACAAAGACAAGGATGTATAATATATTGATTTTTTTTTATGCACGGATAATTATTAGTTATTATATAATTCACCTAATTACCTTAACTTCCCCAACACTCTCTACATCTTATTCTGTCACCCCAATACTTTTCCTAACTTTTACTCTTTTTTCATGCTCCACCACAGATATATGAATATTAAATGATGCATATGCCAACTCAAAGTCTTCACATGACTTTGTTCCCAATAGTGGATACTTGTCTGACTTAACAAATTTTACTTACCTTTTTTTTTTCACTTCATCCCCTACTTAAGTGATATGAATTTCTTAGTCTATAATATAAAATAGAGCAAATTTTAATAAGTTCATCTGATAATTTTAAATAGATTTATTCAACTGTCACCAATATCTCTTAAAACCATTTATATTGTATCATACATATAGACACGATTACCCCTAGTAAAATAAATGGCAACGATGGCCACCACATTCATCTAGTAATTCTTTTTTTTTTTTGAAAAACCATATAGTAATTCCGGTAACTATAAATTGGTCCTCAAAGTTTTTATGTTTCTCTTTTAACATGCAATAAAATTCTAATGTTATAAATACACACTCACTTCGCAATTATTTCATATCAACTTATCTTCCATTATTAGTATTACTTAAATGTTTGATCGGGTCTCACACTATTATTCATTTTTGAACTACATTGTGTTATTTTTATTTGATTGAAGGTTTAATATAACATTTTTTTAAAAATGGTATAATATAAAAAATTTAATCTTTTAAAGTATAAATTAAGAATTTAAAAATCGTTTAAACTACAAATGCTCATTCACTTTTTCGAGTTACTTGCAGCCCACCGATGGAGAAAATATTCATTACAATGGTGATGCCATGTGATAAGTTGACGTGGTATCACCAATTAATAATACTATAACAAATAAGCTATAGATCCCACAAAAATTAATAACTAATCTGCCATATAAGTAAATAACTTCTCACCCTCCTGTCATATAAGCTCAAGTACGGTTCATTTTTTCTATTTGGAGTTTTATTATTAATTAGTGATATCAGGTTTTTAATGGTGATGTGATATCACCGTTTTATTCAATATATACTCCCACCGTTGGGTTAATATTAGAGAAAAAAAAGTAAATAAATTTGTATGAGATTATTAAATTTTTAAAAGAAAAGAAAAAGGAAATCAAAATAATTATATTCAAACTTTCCTGATAAATTTAATTTATGATGCGTTTAGTAACGTTTTCATTTTCATGTTTTCAAAAAGATAAAAAACAAAATCATTGTTTTGTTTTGTTTTGTTTTTGTAGTTAAAAGTTGAAACAAAATACATGTTTGAATTTAGTTGTTGTTTTATGAAATCTAAAAACTAAAACATAAAATATGTTTAGTAACCATTTTATTTTATGTCATATATTTTACATTTATTTTAACTCTTGATAAACTATATCCACATGATTATATGTGAATATATATATTAACTCATAAAATAGTGCATAATACATCAATCCAAAATAAATGTTGTTAAATATCTAATGTATCACTACATAAACATATTGTTAATATTCTACCAATTACACAAATACACCATAATTATTTCACTAAAATTCTAATAATTAATACAAATATCAAGAATAGTAATGCACAACACACAATGAAATTGCATCCACAACAAATAAACATAAAAAAGTGTGATCTATTTCTTCTCTCTCCTTCCTAAATTGGCACATGGGATCACAATTTTTAATTCATCTCTGCGTGTATCGTACTCATCAAGCCATATTTGATAACGATAAAAAAGGCGATTGTTGTTTCTTATTGTCTGCGTGACGAAAACATTCATATTACCATGTCTATATGAATATTTTTTTTTAGTAAAAATTGGAAGTAAGCCCCTCTAAATGTACTTGTTTAGAAGTAAATCCTACAAAGAAACTTATAAGAGGCTAAGTCCATATTTAAAATTATATGTAATGACTTTAGTCCACTTTTTTTTTTTTTATCTCAAAGATACCCTTCCTTGAAAGGAAGTTAATATTTTCTCACTCATATATATTTATATCCATAAATAGGTTAAAAATTTGAATAACATTAAAATTTTTCCTCTTTCTTATTTATATATATATAGTAACATTAAAAAAAAATTATTATGAATTTGAATAGTAAAATTTAAATTTATGTTACTATTTTTTTATTATGTTACTGTTCATGTTACTATTTTTGTTGAATATGTTACTGTTTATATACTATTATTTTTGAGCATCTTACTATTTTGTTGATCATGTTACTACTATTATTTTCTTAAATATTAATATTTAATATTACTATATATTTTGTTTTTAAATATTTCTATTTTTTGTATTTGAATGGTATTATTTTTTGTGTTTGAATTTGAGAGAAATAATTATTGTTAAGTATGCTACAGTTTTTGTTAAACATGTTACTATTTTTGTTAAACATGTTAATATTTTTGTTGAACATGTTACTGTTGTTATTTTTAAAAAATATTAATATTGAATGTTTAAATTTTTTTTATGTTTATATGTTACTATTTTTTTTGTGTTTAAATGTATTATTTTTTGTGTCCAAATGATAATTTTTTTTTGTATTTAAATGTTACTATATATATAACCTATATTTAGATAGATATGAGAGAGAAGATTTTAATGTTAGTCAAACTCCTAAGATTTATGAGTTTTTAATTTTTAGCTTTATTTCACTTCTAAAGGGAAGGGATAATATAGTAAAATTGACAAAAAACGAACTTCATAATAAATAAGTTTCTTTAACGGACTTAAGTCCAAACAAGTCCACATAGGGGGACCGGTCTCCAAATTTCCATTTTTTTTAAGAAAAAGAAAAAAAAAATTATTGAATGAACCCAACAAGAAGCAACAAATTACATGAATCAAACAATGAGAACCTCAAAATACAACTTAGGCTTTAATCCTTCAAAATTCCTTGGAAGTCATTTTAATACTTCCAAGGTTATAGAACTCCTGCCAGAAATCAAAGAGGCAATGTACCTCCGTTGAACCACCCTCTTAATCCTAGTAGCAGGCAGCTGAGTTTGATCCCATTGCAGCAGCATCCTTCCAGCAAGTGGTAAGACGCCACTTGCTGAAAAATCAATAGATCTTCCCCGTTGAACTGCCAATGAAGCCAAGTAATCAGCAATTCCAAATGCCTTTAGCAATCACATCCAGATCTTCATTCCTCCTTACCAAGTTCCATGCAGACTTAACAGAAAAAAATCCTGAATTAGAATTGATGGGTTAAGTCCAAATAGTCCAATTTATGTGTTAAAATTCAACCCCAGTTGAGGAGCCCAACCTAATTTTGATTCCACCAAGTCCAAGACAGTCTAAGACCGGTTAGACTTTTTGCTTAGCACGTCACCAAGAGGAAAGCATGGGAAGCTTATCTGCACCACCAAAGGAAACGGTCCAAATCCACCAAGTCCAAGACAGTCCAAGACCGGTTAGACTTTTTGCTTAGCACGTCATCAATAGGAGAGCATGGGAAGCTTATCTGCACCACCGAAGGAAACGGTCCAATCTTTGACCACGTTTTATGAAGAGCTCCCTAACCTCCTCCTTCCGTTGAGGATAAGTCGTGATCTCCACCAAAAATAATCTCTTAGCTGCGATAAAAAAGCCTTGAGGATAAGTCGTGATCTCCACCAAGAATAATCTCTTAGCTGCGATAAAGAAGCCTTGAGAATAAGTCGTGATCTCCACCAAGAATAATCATTTAGCTGCGATAAAGAAGCCTTGAGGATATGTCATGATCTCCACAAGAATGATCTCTTAGCTGCTATAAAATAGCTCCAATCTGGTAGAAGAGGAAGAGGAAGGTCACGCCCCACCAACACTTACAAAGGACAGACCGACGACCGGAGACCACTGCTTCTTTGATTCTCCATTCTCTCAAAGCTTGTATCTCTATTCTCCATACCTTTGAATTAATAAAATACCCGGCAACTGAAGCCATTGAAGAGTGGACGTAGGTCGAATTGACCGAACTACTATAAATCGTGTCTTCTTTAATTTTTTCATTGATTTCACTGCATTTATTACCTATACTTGACAGGTGGTGTGCAAAACCATTTTTGTGCATCATCAAGAATGCCTCCACACTCTACAATCAGGTTTTGCTGATAAAACCACCCTAGAACCCAGAACATCAGACAACAACTTAGGGGTTAGCAAATCAACTACTCCTTCCAATAACCAACCATTCTCACCCCATACCTCACTAATCTTGGGAAAAAACTGAAGAATAACCTCAATTCTGTGAATTACAGGACCAGATTCCAACCATGGATCACACCAGAAATCAGTAGTCTTCTCATCACCAATAAGCATCATGGAATTATTCACTGTAAAATCAAACCAAGGCTTTAGCATCTTAAAACATCTCCCACCTCCCACAACCCCACATCTCAGCATGTGCTTAAATACTGATGCTAAATGTAATCAAGATTGTTGAATCAAACTTGGTTTTGGTATAAAAGGACGAATGTAAGTAGGAATTTGCGTGTGCTGAATTGTTTTCGATGAAATGCAGAGTGGTTAAAGATTGCATCTCAGAGATGCAAATTCATGTTTAAGCAAGAATATTAACTAGGGCAGCTATGGTTATAGTTCGATATGGATAATGAATTGCTCCTACTCACATTGTTATCTGGTATTATGTGTATTATAAATAAAACCACTGAGCAAAAAATCCAACACGTATCAAAAAGAGCCTTGAATTTAATTCAAGAAAGAAAAAGTTACAACCCATAAGAAGTAGGTGAATGACACTTAATCAGATTTTGAAAACAGGAAATATAAAATATTGAAATTTACCAAAAACCCGAAATCGGAATCCATATTTTTCATGTGAACAAGGAAAAAAACACACAAAAGTAAAAGATATCTGTAAGTTAGAACATGTGTTCTCCACAAAAATCCCTATCTTGATTTTTGACACAAAATTCATAAGAACTAGAAAAGGACCCGATAAACAATAGGTAAAGCAAACAACAATATAACATGTGGAGAATAGATCTAAAAAAAAATCATAGATCTGGAAAAAAAAATCAAAGTGGAGATACGAACAGAGAGAAAACTTACAGCTTCATCAGAGACACAATGGAGGTGACGACCAACGAGCAAATGTGACGAACTAGTGACTAGAGGCGATGACCCAACGAGCGACTTCAACCACCAGCGAGCAGACCACTGTCGGAAGTCAGTTGTTGATGCCCTTCTTTATCATAAGGAAAAAAAATAATTTTTTGTTGTTAAGAGGGTTTGAAGTCGAGACCTTATTAATTGGGTGAGAAACCTCCCATTTTGTTTTGTTTTTTGAATGTTTTCAAAAACATCATTTGGGATGTTTCTAAATTTTGTTATCTATAATAATAAGATAGAACCAATTTTAAATCTCCAAGTTGGAAAAGCACAAGAACGATTCAGATTTATTTTAAAAAATTAATCTAACAGTCTAAAATCACTCTCAAAAATTTTTTTCCCTCAAATATGTCACATCGAAACCTAATCCCAAAGTCTAAAATTGATCCAAATGTTGAAATCACTCTCAATCCTTCTCTTTCTTACCTAACCCTTCTCAACCTCAATCTCTCATACACTCCCCAAACTTCATCTCTCTCCCCCGTCTACCCACCCTCTCTCTACCCCCATCTCCCTCATATCTCTACCCTTTTCTGTGCTCCTCTACCTCTGTCTCGCTCACTCTCATCTTTGTTCTTCCACCCCCATCTCAGTTGAAACAAATCATTGCCAACAATAATGACAGCGATGCTTCCTAACCCTTAGTCGAAGCAAACCATCGCCAACAAATCAAGCCCATGATTTTGGTTATTACCAGATATCTTAGAGAAGGCCAGTGCCACCACGACACCGGCGTCCCTTTGAGGTAGTTTTCTTTCTCCCCTCCCCACCCCTTATTTCTGTCATCCTTTCTGCGCACAAACCACCCCCATTGATGCCCTAATTCGCGTCTCCCCTCTTCTTAATTCTCTCATTCTCTCTTAATCCCTTCCCCGTTTCTCTTCTCTCCATCTCTCTCCTACGTCGGTAACCACACCACTCTATGTATCTCTGTTTCTATCTGTCTCTCTCTACGCACAACACACATATCATATGCAAGGTGTTCGACCAAATGCATACAAGGTGTTCAATCAAATGACCTTAACACTCAACGCACAACACGCACGCCACATGCCACATGCCACACACACACACAACCCCTATTTTCTCTGCTTAGATTTGTTATTTAATTTTTTTTCTCCTTTAATTTTTGTATTCATTTGATGCTAAGTTTTGGTTAAAGATGGCTATTAATATTACTATTTTTGTTCGTTTATTCTCATTTCAGTTTCAATCGAATGGAATATTTTGCAGTTGATTGGGTATAAGAAATGAATGTTGTTGTGGGTAGCTAAGGTTCTATACTTCGTCGATGCGCTGCTAATCATAGCTCTCTAAGGCTTTATGCTTCTTCAATCTATGATTTGGATACACTTTTAGATTGTTGATTAATTTAATAGTATTAATTTGTTTGTGAGTGTGTTGGCATTTGGATAGTTTGGCAAAGTTCGATAGTTGATTTTAGAATTGAATCATTAAATGTTGTGTAACTTGGTGGATATTTAACCTATATTTTGATGTTTATAGGTGTTGTTAATATGCAAAGAATGTTTGGAGAATTGAGTTTGTATATGTTTGCAGGTTTTTAATTTAATGTTTTTCAATTGTGTTTTGAGTTCGTTATTTGAGGCAATGAAAGATTCATAAGATCATTTTTATATTCGAAATTTGATTTGTTTGCTTATTTTTTTTTTCAATTGAATGAGTCAATGTACTTGAGAAATTCATATGGAAGAGCTAGATATTTATCTTTTTACAGAGACAATTGAATTAGAAGATGCACAAAGCTAAAGTTGGATATCTTGCCAAGTTTATGGATTGTGATTTTAAGGGGGAGAGGAGGAAATGGGTTGTGGTCGTTGGTGGGGTTTGATGGGAAAAGATGGCGTGCTCTTGGAGAGGACATTAAGTATTGTATACATGTAAGTTAATTGGTAATATTTGTTGGTGAAATCATGAATTATCACCTTTTTATTTTTTTGGTGCACGTGATCAAGCCACTATGTTGGTTTTCGTATAGGTGGTGACACTAGGGGGTTTAATGTACTAAGATTGTAATTTTGTTAGTATTGAGATATTGTCATTAATTTTGAGTTTTTTCTTTTGTTGGTTAAAATTCATTGATGGTTGTTCAATTTATATCAATGAATTTTTATTTTTTTTTTCCAATTTTTTGTGATATAGAATGTTGTTAGGCACAGACATTAACTTTAGAGGTTTTGTTGTTTTTCGTATTTTATGCAGTTACGTGCTAAGGTATTTCGTCAGTGATTATAATGTTATTTGGACAATTACGTTTAAGTTACTATATGTTAGTGCAGTTAGATAATCATTTGCAATGAAGTACACTTCGAGTTTAATTCAATTTTATTGCATGAAGCATACATTTTTATTTTTTTTATACAAATATGAGGCGACACCATTAATTGCATGAGGTATTAATCTGGTGGAGCTTATAATTGTGGAGATTGGGTTATATCTCAATGTCCACATGGAGCTTATTGCAATGTAGTTGATAATTTTGATTTAGTTGGTAGGTTGAATTATTACTATAAGTATAGTAAATTTTACTATTGGTATGATATTTATGACAAACTGCTTCAAATCTTAGTTTTTTATCTAATAAAATGTAGGAACATCATTTTCATTACGATTGAGTTTCAATTCCGTTTTTTAAGTGTTGAATTAAGGATTTGTTAATTATTGAATGTTATAGTTGTTAGTGGTATTGTATGTAGTTTGCATGTGTTTTGTTTGTATGTAATTTATTTCAATTTTTTATTACGTCGTGCCTTCAGGCACGGGCAATTATTAGTTGTTTTAAAAACACAACAGTAGCAAAAAAATAAAAACATTCACCAAACATATAGGGTCTGTTTGGTTTGCGTTTCAAAAAATAGTATCCAAAAATAATTTTTGAGAAAAATTTTAAGAAAGTGTTTTTGAAAATTTTTAGATTACAAAACCTGTTTGGTTTTATATTTTTGAAAATAATTTTAAAGAACAAAAATTATAAAATATATTTTGACAATAATCACAATTCTCATCTCTCTCTTTCTTTTCCCTATCTTTGTCTCCACAAAACACAATCACATACACACACAAACGCATACATAGAAGCATATAGACACACACACACACAAAACACACACACGCAGACACAAAAAAAATACACACACACACACAAACACTCGGATCTATGCTCAGATCTGTGTAGCTCTAGAGTTGTTGCGAGAGAGAGAGAGAGAGAGAGAGAGAGAGGCTGGGGCAGTGAAGACACTAGAGAAGAAAAAAAAAAAGAAGAAGACACTGGGCAGTGAAGAGAGAGAGAAAGAGAAAAAAAAAAGATGTTGGACAGTAAAAACGACGGAGAAGAAGACACTGGGCAAAGTGGAAAGAGGGAGAGAAAAAGAGAAGAAGAAGAAAAAGACGTTTTGCTTTTAAGAAGACTCGAAAGGCAGACCTCATTTAACTCATTTAACTTGTCTCCATATTTTGAAAATTTTCAAAGAAAACTATGAAAATAAATTACGAGTGTTTTTGAAAATTTAAGAATAAAAAATTATTTTGTAGATGATAACCAGCACACGTGCCATATTTTTTTTTATTTTCCAAAAAAATGAAAACAAATAAAAAACGAAAATTTTCTATTATCAAACACAACCTTAGAGTTATTGTTTAAAGTTTAAACCTATGAAAGTGGAATAAGTGAAAAAAAGAAAAAGAAAAAGAAAAAAGAACATCCTATTGGTTAGCAGAGGATACAGATGGTGCAGTCTGCAGCAGCAGAGTGAAACCGACAAGCGTTTACTGACTGTCTATTGGAGGGATGACGTGCCGATCCCCACCCACTAGAAATACATATAGCATTTCCCTAATAATACAGTTTTGTTTTGTTTTTAAAAAAAAAATTAGGTGACAGAACAGAACGACTCTGATTTAAGTGGACCCCACTATTGACATATATCTGCGCCCTTTATGAGAGAGAGAGAGAGAGAGACTTACTTCTAGGTTAAGGAAGGGTTTGGAATTGGATGGTCGTTAAGGCTCACAAAAGTCAGTCCTGTTTTCAATCCCTGCCTCCTCGTATTAGCATGGGAGTTGTGTGTGTGTTTTTGTTTTTGGTTTTGGTTTGTTCTTAAAGTTAAAACCATACCTCTCTTGTTGAATTTGCATGGATGTCTGTGGAGATCATTACATCTCTGAAGGAAGGGATTGGGATTGGGATTGGGATTTGGATCACCTCTTGGATAACTTCCCGCTACCATCACCGGAGGATCTGATTTTTTTCGATATAGATGTCGATCCCTCTTCCCTTCCCGATGTTTCTTCTGTCAACCAAATAGCAAGTCCGTCTCCGGATTCTGCTTTGCCTTCTTTTGCCATCGGCGACATCGAGCAATTGCTGATGAAAGACGATGACAGACACAGTGACAAATCAGTTGCCGAGGACCCGCTTCCTATGTATGAATCCTGCAACGCCTTCTTGTCGGATATTCTTCTTCATTCGCCTGTTGAATCCCATCGATCTGCCGAAGTTATTGATATCTCCGAATCCGACGGTAAGAATTCTAATGATTCAGAGGAGGATGAGGATAAAATCCATGCAGGCGAGCGAAAAAATAACGAAAACAACAACGTAGATTGTCATGATGATGATCCAATTTCTAAGAAACGCAAAAGGTACGTTTGTATTGGGGTTTCTTCGCTTTTCTGATTTCTCTACTCAATTTATTTAAGTGGTTTTTTTTTTTTTTTGGGGGGGGGGGTGTATTTGATGTATCTAGTTGAGTAATGAGACATAAATTCAAATTCATTACTTTCTGTACTGTTTATTGGTTAATTTTGACGAGATGGTGACTTTTAATTGTTTTTTTTGGATGTTTTATCTGATAATCCAGGCAACTGAGGAATCGGGATGCTGCTATGAAATCTCGTGAGAGGAAGAAGATGTACGTGAAGGATCTGGAGATGAAGAGTAGGTACTATGAAGCGGAATGCAAGAGACTCGGAATGGTGCTCCAGTGCTGTTTCGCAGAGAATCAAGCATTACGCCTTTCCTTGCAGAATACCAAGGCCTTTGATGCTTATAGGACCAAGCAGGAGTCTGCTGTGCTCGTGTTGGGTAAGAATCCCAAACCGTCTCACTTCAGCTCTTTTATCAATTTTCAGTCTTTCGAAAAGCAAACTCCACATATTTCCACTTTGAAATTGGCATGGGGGTTCACTTACATTTGTATGGGATCCAGGCCATCCAGCCAACAATACTTTATATTCCGCAAATTCTTTTGCAAATATGTTTTATTTTATCAGTTTCTCTCTGTTTGTTTGTTTTTTAAATTACAATTCTCTTTATATTCAAAGTCTCATTGTATCTATTAGAGTGAAAAATTGAGTCGAAATTAAAAGAGCGTTCTATTTCCTATGACGAGCTTGATTTGTTCACAACTAGCTTGTCTGTTGAAAAGCTCTAGGGACTAGTTTATTGATCATGTTTGAGATTATGGCAACCCCATCGATATTAATAGCATTCCATTAAACTGAATAATATATGATTACAAATTACTAAACCCACCACAGTCGGTACCCATTATTAGTGATGAAACCCAACATGTTAATGTATTAACGTATCATGTACATCCTTAATCACAAACTATTCTCATCTCCAAATCTCCTCACCCCAAATGGAAATGGGCAATGAACCCATTGCTATCAACATCTTAATCCGCTCGGCATTTGTTACTGTTTGTGATTCCTTTAGAAAGATCATATGTTTCTTGATAGTGTTAGTCATGTTGGTGGTTGGAGTGGTGGGTGGTGTTGGCAATGGTGGCAATCTTGGAAGTATTGCCCAGTTTATGCAGCGTTATTGACCCATCACTTGAGTCCATGGTGGTGTTATGGGTGGTGGCAGCAACTGAAAGGGTGGACTGAATGGTCAGTGTTGTCCTGTTGCAAGTATACATGAAGATGGTGATGAACAACCAACAAAAGATGGTGATAGCCATTGGCAAACCTGTGGGTTAGAATATATGAGGGGTGGGAGTATGATTGATGATGTAAACATTTGATATATTAAAGAGATGAGTATACAATGAGTTGGTTTAGTCACCAGTGGGGGATGAATTAATGATTTATATTAGTGATGGTATTTTTTATTTTTTTGGGTGTTGGGGATAGATATTTGGTGGGTAGAAATAGCACCACCCATTAACGTCATCATATTTTAACCTTTATTATTGATCAAACAGGTATGATTCCTTGTGGGTCTGGCCTTGCACATTGAAGCGACCCCTTGCCTCATTCCTTTTTTTTCATGTGCCCAAGACTCACTATTCCATTATCTTTGCTTCTCATATTTATGTATTTTTCTTTCTCGAGCCTCCTAGCAATAGTCAAATTGTTCATGTCAAACACCTAATTAATGAGGGTTGTTATTTCGTTTGATTTTCATTAATCAAGGGTACTGAAGAGACATGAAATGGATTGAAATCTACCTTTAACATTCCTTGCACAAACTGGTTGTTCTCGTTCTTGACCAACAATCTTATAGTTGTTAGCACGATACTTTTTCCACTACATGAAGCAATTATTCTTATCATATGCCTACTTGATACCTCAATATTTTTGCCCTCAGGTGTGGAATTAATAACTACCTATATGGCCTTTGAACTACATCGTTTATGTCAATCAAGCCTCTAAACAATGTTTTGTATTAGTTTTGCCCCAGAATTATGCAATCTGACTGAAGGTGACCCTTCCATCAAAATTCCGTCAAAATTTGTCGTTGACTTTGACAAAAATCTTTATGTGTACATCACGTGAGTCAGAGATTTTGTTTTATAATTCAGGAGCCACATAATATGCATGCAAGGGTTTTCATCAAAGTTAACAGCGAATTTGGACAAAAGGGCTACATTGAGTTCGATTGCATAATTCATGGTTAAATTAATACAAAACATAATTCGGAGGCTTGATTGACACAAATGGTATAGTTTATGGGCTAAATAGGAAGTTAACTCAAAGATTAAAGAATCTATATTGGTTGACCTTTTATCTTTTTTGGTTGACGTGTAGGAGATTCCAATTTGTTTGTTTTGAACTTTTTTCAAGAGCCAACGGCTTTGATTACGCTTCATTGAGCTGTAGAAGACTAATCTGACAAAGTAATTTACATGAAGTGGATGTTAATAACACTGACCTTGGCAATTATGCAGAATCCCTGCTGTTGGGTTCCCTGCTTTGGTTCCTGGGCATCATGTGCCTGTTCATCCTGCCCAGTCAGCTCCAATCGACCATCTTAGTAGTTCCAATGGAAAACGTGGACAACAAAAGTCAAGAAGGTCTGGTTCAAAGAAAGGCAGGAAGTGAGAATTTTGGACTTCTGGTGTTTCAATCCTTTATGATGAGCAAAAGATGCAAAGCATCAAGGTCAAGAATGAAACCAAGTTCCCCTGCTATTAAACTTTTGGTGTGACGCATGAGGTGGCTCACGTTATATGTACTCGTACTTGAATGTTTAGTTTTTTTTTTTTTTTTTGTGCTTTCTTTAAGGGTCTTGGAGGGTAGTGCAGTGGACGATCTTTCCCCTCCAAAATTGGATAATAAATATTGAGATTAATAGGAAGAATGGCTGGTGCTGGTGTTTTGATGGAGTTTTATGAGCAACATGTTCCCCTCTCTTTCTAGAAAGAACTATAATATGTAACGTTTGTTGAACTCCTAGTACATGATAACGTTATATTTCTCTTACAGGTTAACTCGTTTGGATTAGACTCATTTTCAGGATTTCAAAATTCATGGAAATTCAGTGTTGCTATATCATTATCATTACCGCAACGGTCTTTTAGGATGATGGATTTGTTGCTCAATTGTGACATAGAACTCAACGGAGTTGATGACCACTCGGACATATAGCAAGTTTCGGTCTGTGGGATTCACGGGGCATGTGGTTTATTCTCCCTGGTTGCCTAATAATACCATTGATTTACTTTGTCTTATGGGGATAAATACTTGGTGGCGTTCTCCAACCAGTGGCAATCACGAAAACTGGGTTTAGCCCTTTAGGAAAGGGTGGAAGGGAGATTTAAGAGGAAGGGAAGGCCAGTACATCTTCATAAAGATGCAATCCTATATCCTTTACGAAAATTACTGTACTGCCACTGCCAGCCAGACAAGCAACGGGATACAAATGCCTCATCTCCAACTAAATGTGTGATATCTCACATTTACGGTATTTGGTTCGTCTTCTTTGGACTCAGTAATCACTATAATCTTTTCGAACAATAAATTGGAAGATTTCTTTCGGGGAAAAGAAATAAATTGGAGCAAGGCTTGATGATCTCCTTAGATTAAAATGAGCTGATAGCTTTTGACGTGGAATTACTTGAGGAGGTGTCTTTTGGTGAGGTGAAACATTATACCCCATTGGAGTGTTGAGATTGCCCTCTCTTTTCTAGACAGGCAACGTGAACTGCAAATGTTCCAAGTTTAGAAGATTGTCCGTTTAACCTTTTAGCTTTAAGGTAGATCAGCATAGCCAAAGAGACGGTAACGATTTTCGTAGGTGTGGGGAAACATTCTAAGCACCACCATCGTAGTTTCCCTGTTTCAGAATCATCTTGGATTGTTATTTCACGCAAACCAAAACAACTGGAGCTTGCGGTGAAGACACTCAGCCTGGTCATATTCATTGTCCTCCTAAAATCAAACTTAACAGGATTTAAAGTCAATCACAAAGACTTATACTATGAAATACAACACCCCCCCCCCCCTCCCAAAAAAAAAAAAGAAAGAAATAACAACAACAATCCACTGCTTAACCATTAGAACATAGGAATGGCAATTACACGGTCAAAGCTTTGCAAGGGGAAGGAACTGTTCATAAAAAACACTCATACAGGCACGAGCTAGCACACTTGACCTCAAAAAAAAAAACAAAAAAAACAAGTGATCTGCAGGATAAGCAAGGAATCCAGATGATCCAATAATTCGGAGATGGATAGTTTGTCATTAAAACCTACCAAAGAAGACAATTAAGAATCTGGCTAATGATGGTGATCGTGTGGTGATTGTTAAGATAAATGGTTGGGTGTTGTCAACCCGGAGGACATATGAAGGAGAGGGTCCCAGGAGAGATTATCACTACCACCCCAATAGTTGTTGTGACAGCGGACAAACTGCTGTTCCGGGGGCCAAACAACTCCAGTTGCTCCATTCATTTGAGGCATAGCCATTGGCAAGCTTACGCCGCCTACTTTCTCATCCTTCCCTGTAAACACTCCTCCAAGCTGATAGTTATTACCTACAGCAGGGTAGGATAAATCAACCATCGGTTGAGTTTTCCCTGAAAGTTGGGTTGCACCACCAGTGGTCCTGATCATGGTTGTCCTACTGAACAAATCGCTTTCCTCATGGAGATGGTTCAGCTGCGATGAAACCCAAGGCTCTTCAGGAGCTGGATCATTAGGCCACACCAGCCCTGTAGTTGATCCGGTTTGGCACTGGTTACGCCATTGCATCCCATCCTGATTAACCGCCCCAGTATCTAGTACATGACGATGATTGTTATTATAATTATGATGATCATGATGATCTTGGAGCTCCAGAACAAAATTCTTACTGGGTCCCAAATTATGAGAACCTTGATTGGGATTCCCAGTCCCAGTGCTATCAATCCTTTGGGGAACCGAATGAATTGCTGATAATGGCTCTGCCTTGGCGCCTTTTTTGTGGAGCGAGACTCGAACGTTCCCAGGGACATAGGGTTGCAAGGTTGAATAGTTTGGCTGTGTTAGTAACCGCAAGCTCTTTCCGTCGGATAGCTTGGCCTTGAGAGCACCCAGAAGCCCCTCAGCTTGATCTTCAGCTCCGCACACTTGCTCAAATGAAAAAGGCTCGGCATTTTCTGGCATGCAGTTGCTGCCACCACCTGCACGAGTATGGTTAGATGCGGACTGAGGTATTTCAAAGTTGGTGCGGGCATTAGCACCTCTGAGAGTCCGAGCAGCATCATCATATGCACGGGCCGCATCCTCGGCCGTGTCAAAGGTTCCTAGCCAAAGCCTAACCTTCTGGAGAGAATCCTTTATTTCGGCCACCCATCTTCCTGAAGGCCTCTGACGAACTCCAACGAACCTATGGTGACCCCTGGAAGATGCCTTCCTTCTACCTCTTACGCCTTGGGATTGGCCTGAACCTGCTGGTGTTGGCCCCATCTGTTTATTTCCCTGTGTTCCTCCTGCTTCCGGCTGTGCTGCGGAATCAATATTCATAGCTTGCCTCAATAATCCGCCAGCTGCTTTCAAAACCATCGGAGCATCTTAGGGGTAATTTGTTATAAAGATGCTGGAAATGGTGAGGTATCGGAATACCCCAACTAGTAGACAAATCACAAAATGTCAATAACAGCTGGTATATATTCTTGTTGATTCATTAAGGAACGTCGCTTTTGCAGGCCACGTTGTTTGTATCGTCACAACACATAAAATATACGAGTACATCACAAGAGAACGCCATTCCTCCCTCCAACACTGCTAATACTACCAAATATTAATTTGTATAGGGCAAGTCGTGGAAAATGTCTTACATTCATGGTCTAAGTCAGGCTTCAAAGCGCAGTGAACCCCCCAAAAATAATACATCCTACTGCCTTCCACGCTGTACATTTGTCATCATGATTTTAATATGATTGTGGGTCCACAGTTTTGGAATTTAGGATATAGATAACCAAGAACTTTTCTAACGACAAATGCACAATTAGTGTTATATTATCAACCTCCACTAATTAATTAAACTCTTTTCTAATACGTACCTGGCAAGGGTACAAAATTATCAACGGTTACTTCTAACTGTGTCCAAAAATGTAACAAAGAGAATTTTTCGTTGAATTTCAATATAGAAGGCTAATGTTCCGGAGATGTAACCATTCAATAAATAATACCCTCTATCTTAATACTTGATTTTTTTTTTTTTTTTCAAATATCGATGTAGACAAAATACGTATTTTTCAAATGATTCATGGTGGGCAGGCCAATTGGATCTCCTTCTGGTAGCTTTCTGCACCTGCACCACTTTAGGGATTCAAATCTGATGACGCCTCCTTAGATGTTTGTTGCCAAATAAATGATAATACTATATATGCTTGCTGCCAAATTGTGCTAATGTTATGCACTTCTAGAAGGTAGCTGGACATGTTGAAGTAGTAGCTTGCTTGAGCTTCAGTTTGACCGTGGCTTGTTTGCCGCTTGTGTACTCAACAAAGCATGACTGAATACACGCAGCTGAAAGCGGAGCCAAAGGGTAGTTAGGTCACTTTACAAGGGTAGTATTGCCAATTAACACTAAATTGTAATTCAAAAAGCTGTAACCGCCTTTTTCTCAAAAAATCAAAATCAAAATCAAAGAGTCAACATTAGAAAAGCAAAAGTCTCCATTATTAGACTAAGGGCATGTAGCAGCAATATGCACCAAGGTTAAACCGGTGGTGACTTTATCTCTCGTGTTCTTGTTTACTTTATTCTTTACACACACACACACACACTCCCCCAGCTCGTTCAGTTGACGCAAACACACCATCAATATGATACTGTGGAAAACGAAGGGCATGTAGCAGCAATATGCGCCAAAGGTTAAACCGGTAGTGGCTTTTGGTTTAGTTGTAAGTTCTAAGAGACAGAGACAGAGACAGAGAAAAGCATAAACACAGCACAACAGTGTGCAGGTGAAACACGGAGAGAGAGAGAGAGAGAGAGAAGAATGTATTCGGATTTTGGGATACCGAGAGAATTATCCGATCTCCAAAAGCGTCGATCTCAATATCAACCAGAGCTGCCTCCTTGCCTGCAGGTATCTTTATTCTCTCTTCATTTTTTCATTGGATTGCCATTTATTGCGTTTCGTTCTGTCTCTCCCTTTTTTCTATTTTACGATGTTAATCCGTCGTTGTTCCATGTTTCTGTTGTTATGTCTTGTGTTCCTTCTTGTTTCATTGAATTAAGTGCCGATCTATAGCAATTTTGAAACAAAATTACACGGTATTTTTGAACTTATTTATTAAACTATGATATTTTTTAAAAAACAGAGTCCCGTTTTGGATTTGCCATCTGACTTGACAGCTGAAGGAATTATGCTTAAGAAGCATTTGATCATCCCGCATCATCCCATTGCTACTTTTTGCTTTACCTAATTTTGAACTAGAATACAACAATTTGGCTTATCACTTGTCTTGTGAATTCTTAAGGTACCGTTTGACAGGTTATTTCGACCATTTTATGCCAAAGTACCAAAATAGAGTAGGGTGCATGTTGGAAATAATGTTCTTCTAAGATTTAATGAAAACAGAGGATGGGTTGAAATCATCAATGCTGCTTGTTTTGTACTTGAGTCTCTGATTTGTAACTATCACACAAGAAGTGATGAAGATTTTTGCTGCTTGCCATTCAGATGATGCATTTGCTTAGCAGTTAGCACAATTTCACGTGGTATCAGTTCTGAATCATAGACACTTCCATGTTGGTGAAGGATCAAGAAAAATTAAAATTGCACACTTCATTGAGTTAAAAAGAAAAACAAAAAAGGCAAGAAGAATATCATATATACAATATGATAGAAGTGCAAGTGTGTGGTTTGAAGTGGAATCATATGTATATTTCTATATGTGAGGACAACGTTCCACATCTCTTTGACCATTTCACTTTTCTTGTGGATTATATGGCGTAATAAAACAGATATAACAATGCCTTGCGTGGTGGTGAGTTAATTTTTCAGGTAGACAATGTAGTGTATTTTTGCCTTATTTTCTTTGTATGTTGGTGGATGCCATTTTGATCACATTAATATTGTTATGAGATGGGAAAAAATGATTCCTTATCCTCATGCATTTGTTTGTTCATAAAATTTGTTTCATGCTTTCACGTTTTCAAGAGTAGAGCAAAATATTGGTTCTTTTCTAATGTCAAACTTTCGAGTGTTTGCTTCTGTTTGTGTTTGATGTGTCAAGAAGCAATGGTTTGCCAGAATTGTTGTATCCTCTATGCCTATCTTGCTATTTTGGCATAAAAGATGCTTGAACGACTGCTTGCATACATGATTTTTTGATATAATTCTATTGATCTTTCTTGTTAATAATTAACATCTAAACAAGTTCCTTGTTTTACCTAACTTCCATGTATTTTCTTATTAGCCCATCTTATGCTCAGTTACTGTCATTTTTCAGGGGACTACTGTCTGTGTAGAATTTGGTGATGCCACCACTGCTACAGACTCCTCTGACGCGCACACCATAAGTCGATCCTTTCCACACAGTTATGGTCAGCCTTTAGCTCACTTTGTTAGGGCAACTGCCAAGGTCCCTGATGCTCAGATAATTATTGAGCATCCAGAAATTAGGTATACATTTGATTTAATTTTTTTAGTTGGGTGATTTGTTTTCTGAGTACATTGAAGGACTATGAAGAGAGATGAAACCCTGAGCCTTCCACCGGCTCCCACAACACATTCATTACATGCGTATGCATCCGGACATTCCAAGTCTACACCATTGATGTTACGCATCTAATGACCATTTTATAAAATCCTTGTGTCTTTCTTGGGGTGGGGATTTATGGACTTCCACCAGTCGTGATGTTTATTCTGCACGATGATTCCATTGGATTGCCAATTTAACTAGGCTGCCCTCAGTTTCTTAATTGTTATTGCATTCATATTCTTTGCCATCCCTTTGGCAGCATGATAAACTTTAGGGGAAGGACATAACGCGAAAATTGTTACAGAAGCAGTGGTCTGTAGTTATATGACTCTATATCCATGATTATCTGTAAAGAGAAACCTCTACATATTCACAATATTTTTGTTTGACATCCAAGTATTCTTATGTTGTAATTTCTTCTGTTTAGGGTTGGAGCAGTTTTTTGTGGCAGACAATCTCCTGGGGGACATAACGTCATATGGGGCCTTCACAATGCTCTCAGGATTCACAACCCTAATAGTACTTTGCTTGGATTTCTGGGTAGATGACGTTCCTTACATTCATGAGCTGACTTGATTTTTTCTTTTAATCATGGAACTCTACATATATCCATCATAGTTGTCAAGTCGCATATCGGAAGACATATCAGTTTTAAAAATAGTGTATCGTATCGTATTGTGTATCGTGTATAGTAAGATACGCACAATTTTAAATAATTATTAATAAAATATATATATACCTTTGTAAAAAAGTCATAGACTCATAATAACATAAGATTTCATTAATATTCCACAAACTATTTAAGTTCTCAACATAGTTCAGTAATATTAAAATGCAAAGACCTCTAATTCAAACTTCTAATATCAACTGCTTGAACAATCTTAATATTAATAAGGAATTTTGAATTTAATTGATCAACATTAACAACATACTTTATATTTTTTTTAAAACCATAATCACTGAAACAACGTTGTTTCACTGGGTATTGATTTAAAATTAAGTCATAGGGTGATGTCATTTCAGCCCTAAAAAACTAAAAAAAAAAGAAGAATCTTCACATATCATACGTATTATATGTATCGTATCGTATACCGTATGATACGGTGCAAAAACGATACAGAGAAACGATATGTATCATTTTTCAAGTGTATTGTGACATATGTACGATACGTATCGCGTATCATATGATACTAATAACCATGATGTTCATGCACATGCGCCCATATCTAGAAGATGAATTCATTGTTCAACATGCTCATTTTGTTATGCTTTCCTTATCACCCTGTTAATGAGGCCTCTTTGTAATTGATTAGCATGCTATCTTGATTAAATATATCACCCTTTTCGTGTTGCATTTTGTGTCACAGGCGCATTATGTCCAACTTTTTGGCGACCTTTTCCATGTAAATAAGTTTGTATCTTTGTTGAGGATGTCTAAAAGGAGCCTTTTCTGCCTGTTACCAGGTGGTTCCGAAGGCTTATTTGCACAAAAGACTCTTGAGGTCACAGATGACATTCTTGCAACCTACAAAAATCAAGGTAGTATGAGTTACAAGTACTTGACAATTTTCAGATCGATATTTTTGGTTTCCATGTAAAATCAAAAGATTGTTTTATGCTATAATCCTTCCAAGGCGGTTATGATATGCTGGGAAGAACGAAAGATCAAATAAGAACAGCTGAGCAAGTCAATGCTGCGCTCACTGCTTGCAGAGATTTGAAATTGGATGGCCTTGTCATTATTGGAGGTATCTCTTATCTTGAATTTAAGTTCACCATAAACATCCAACATACAGTAATAAATTTTCTTAACATACACCTTTACTTTTTGAAGGGGTCACATCAAACACATACGCTGCTCAACTTGCCGAAACTTTTGCAAAAGTAAAATGCCCAACTAAGGTACCTTGTGCGTGTGACATTTTTATACATACATGTATTTCAGTTCCTTTTTGGGTCTCCAATTTTTTAAGTAGACAAGCAATTAATGTATCTCATCCAATGAGTTTGAAACTTGAAATATTTCAGATAATTTGTTTATAAATGGATTTTCAAATTGACTTGTTGAAGAGGAATGTTATTTTTGGGCTCTAGAGATTTTCAAAGCTTTATATGTGAATGTGAAGTTCAGAAATGTATCCAGTTGACTGGTCAAAAGTTTGAAATATTCCAAAATATATTGTACCATTTCAATGTCAATATTTATTTCCTCATAAATAGATTATTTTGTTCCTCTGAGTACTTTTGTACGTACAGCTACCATTGCACCGCTGCAATGTTCAGCCAGCGTGTTTCTTGCTGAACTGAGAGAGCAGGACACCCTGATTGTTTGAGATTTTGCAGGTGGTTGGGGTTCCAGTTTCTTTGAATGGAGATCTCAAGAACCAATTCGTTGAAACAAATGTTGGTTTTGATACCGTATGTAAGGTATTAGTCCTGTAGTGATCTCAATAGCTTGCATGAAGTTATGTGTGTTGGTTGTGATACCTTATGTGGGGAACTAGCCCTATGGGCTCAACAGCTTACATGAATGCCTTCTAATTTACAATTGAACTCTATGATTGATGAAATAGCTTATTTTTAAGTTGTGCTTTTCCAACCCTGTTTTGATCAGAAAAAACTAAATGGTCTTATGACCCTGCTTCACATTGTTATGCATTCTTCACCTAATCCCTTCTTCTTCTTCCTACTACAGACAAAGTGATATTGGCAAAAAAATCTATTCATTGGAACTGTCATTTTGTTATTGGTTTAGGGTTGAGCATAAAATGTAATGCTTGTTGTGTCCTCATCATCTTCTTTTCCCATACCGTTGTTTTTTTGACATTGAATTTGATTTTGCTGGATTGTGGTGCTACTTCGTTAAAGGATTGTATCCTGTTGAAGGCACCTAAGAAATTCCAGAAGTGTAAATATTTTAGGACTGCATTTGAAAAATTTTAGTAAAGAATTTGATCAACATTATTTGATCATATCTTATTAGGTTAATTCCCAGCTTATCAGCAATGTCTGCACAGATGCTTTTTCAGCAGAGAAGGTAATTGTGAACATATCCTCCTAATAAGCAATGCCTTCCATATTCTAATTTATGTTCATTGCTTGTAGCCAAGATGGAGTGACCAGTCTAGCCTCCATAACCCTGCGTACATTAAGCAATTTTATTGTTAATTTGAGATGCCCACCTGCTTTTTTTTGAAGATGTTTTCCCATTTTTTTTGTCTTCAGTATTATTATTTTATCCGGCTCATGGGGGGAAAGGCATCACATGTTGCTTTGGAATGCTCTCTCCAGTCACATCCGAACATGGTTCACAATCCGTCCTTTCCATAACCCTCATTGACATTGCCATAAATGATGCTACTTTTGGGATAATCTTGATCTTCGTCCTGAATAATCTCAATTTCTTTGTAGGTAATTCTCGGGGAGGAGGTGGCTGCATCAAAGCTAAGCCTCTTTGAACTAACAAAACAACTTTGTGATGCAGTACAAGCCCGGGCAGAACAAGGTGTGAAATCTCTGCCTTACAATTGTTGCCTTTATGGTAATTATAATTACTGTTCTCACCTGAGGAAATGTTCTCGAACCAGACAAGTATCATGGTGTCTTCTTATTGCCAGAGGGGCTTATAGAAAGCATTCCTGAAGTCTATGCTCTCCTGCAGGTAAATCCATGCTTTTAGAAAATGACTCCTCCCTTGTATACCACACACACCCCAAAAAAGGAAAAAGAAAATGGTGACCTTCTTTTTTCCCGAAAAGTGGAAGGTCCTTATTTTTCTATGTTTCTAAATGTATGTTTTTTAAATCTGGCCTTGTATGTTTCTAATTTCCACTTTCTGGATTATCTATTAATTTCCAGGAAATTCATGGTTTGCTCAGGCAAGGTGTTGCTGTTGATGGTATTTCTTCTCAACTGTCACCTTGGGCATCCGCTTTGTTTGATTTTTTGCCACCCTTCATTAGAAAACAGGTCTATTCTTCACATCAGTATAAGTGTTTTATTTCGCCTTCCTGGGCAATGTTGGTTATCCAAAATACCTTCAATATTACAGCTGCTTCTCCATCCCGAATCAGATGATTCTGCTCAGTTATCCCAGGTATTGGAATCTGCAACCCTCATGGCGCATTAAAACAAACCCGGAATTTTATTGACTATGATAGTTGTTACTTAATACTCCTTTATGTCATATTACAGATTGAGACAGAGAGACTCCTTGCTCATCTTGTGGAAAAAGAAATGATCAAGCGATTTGTATGTAACCATCTTGTATTTTTTTTTTTTTCATTTTTTTGATAATTAATCAAAAAATACTGACTGCTGAGGAAATAAATCCTGCTTGGTCTCATTCATTCTATTTTATTTTTTTTCTGTAGACATGACTAGTAAAAAGATTTTAGAATTTGGTGGTTTTAGCCAGTATGCTATCCTGTGTTTATCATAACTCTACTACGTTCATGTTGATTTAACAGAAAGAAGGAACATACAAGGGGAAGAAATTTAGTGCTGTCTGCCACTTCTTTGGCTATCAAACTCGGGGATCATTACCTTCAAAGTTTGATTGTGACTACGCGTATGTAAGTTGATGCCTTGGATTGCTTCTCTTTCTTAACCTGGTTCATGCTAAGTACATTTCCTCCTAACAAGATAATAAAACTATATTCATGCAGGTTCTCGGGTATATTTGTTACCATATTCTCGCAACTGGTCTGAACGGATATATGGCAACTGTAACTAACATGAAGAATCCTTTGAACAAGTGGCGTTGTGGAGCTGCCCCAATAACGGTGGGTATATGCTCCTTCCGTGCTTTGTAGCCAATCTCTATGCTTCAAGTACTTCAGTAAAGTTCTGGTATTTTTTTTCTTTACTCCCCGACCCCTCCTCGTCCCTTTTGTGTTGCTTTCTTTGTGTTGAGTTTTTTTTTTTTTGAATGTTTGTTCAGTGTCTCATTTCTTGTTTATTGTTATAACTTGTAATGGCAAGGAAGTTGACTCATTTGTTGTATTGGTAAACCTCAGGCAATGATGACTGTTAAGCATTATTATGGTCATGGTCCTGGGGTATTATCAGTTGGGAAACCTGCTGTGCATCCTGCTACTGTGGATTTGAAAGGCAAAGCATATAAGTAAGTCCCTTCGCTATTATTTTCTGTATGCTTGTTTGACATGTCTCTGTCAATATTTACCAAATGCTTGTTTGACCTCACAGCAGAAGATATAGTTCAAGCTCCATGACTATTTTTTGTTCTTCCTTTTCAATTTTTTTAAGAAGACATTGTTCGTTTGGGGAAGGGGGCTCATTCTTCATGACAACATCTTGAATTTTGCAGTCAGAACATTCTTTGGTATTTGAAGTTAAATGAAGCATTGAAGATATGAACGGTTTTACGGCAGTTGAATGGTTTCTTCGTCTTTGTGCAGGCAACTGAGACAAAATGCAACAAATTTTTTGATGGATGATGTTTACAGAAACCCAGGACCCCTTCAGTTTGATGGTCCAGGTGCTGAGGCTAAGGCTGTAACTTTATGCATTGAAGACCAGGATTACATGGGTCGTATCAAAGCATTGCAAGAATATCTTGACAAGGTGCTGAAATTCAGCCATATTGGTTGTTTTTTGTTCCTGCAAACAAATTCTGAGTCTTCACAATTCTGTATTGCAAGTAGTAGATCATTTTTTGATTTGAAGTAGATTGATATTTCAATTTTTATTATGAAATGTGCTGTTGGCTTATTTTCTGTTTAAGAACAATGATGTGACAGGCTTAAGCCCAGTGAACTTAGAACATGTTAGAAGTCAACTGCCGTATAACAAAAAGTTGAAGAAGAAAAATCATTGTTGTTGATTGAAACAGAAAAAATGTGGTCTTTACATCTTCAGTCTCACTTGATCTTGAGGTTTCTAGTCATCAGTGTTGTCTTGACATGGCTCGTCCGGAGAACAAGAAGTTTGATGGTCTTTCCCATCTGATGCGGTAATATTAGGTTAAATATGTTGTTGCCAACCTGAGGCCTTTTTGATTCCGTGGGGAAGCCTTATTTGTTCAAGTTAATACTATGCTAAGCGTACCATTATTTGATGTTTATTTTTGTTCTTGTTTTATTACATCATATCATATTTTGTTGTGTGTTTTTATTATTTTCAGGTGCGGACAATGGTGAAACTAGGGTGTTCAGAGGATGTTCTGAAAGCAGCTTTGAGCGCCATGGCAGCTGCGACAAATATTCTCTCAACCATGACCGAGAACACACCTTATTAGAAGCAGCAAATAATGACAAAGATTAAATCTGCTGCAGTGGCAAGATTGTAAAGTATAATTTTTGTGAGTCATGAACTTAAACAAAGAGATGCAGGAACATGTCGTATCATTTCAGTAAACTGAAAGTTGAATAGTAGAGGAGGTAGGTCAGTAGGTGGTGTGTTGATAATGAAATCACACATATCTGCAGATGTCTGGGTGGCTGGGGCATTTGGTGGCTTCGATAAATTCGCCAAGGGCCAAAAGAATACCTTCCAAAATGGTGGAGTATGTTTGTGTATGCAATTGCAAAACAAAGGTGTGAAGCGATGATTATTTATTAATTACTAAAACCACTCGCATACAATCAAGAATCAAGGCCGGCCTGCCTCATTCGACAAACCAACTTATGAATGAAGACAGGACCAAAGCCAAACACCAGAAGAGTGCGTACGTGGTTGGGTTTGGGCGCTCTTTTGTGCTTCTTATTTCACTTCACGGATGGTGATAGTTTCTGCTCGCACAAGGCTGTGGCTGTGTTGAAGGGTTTTCTTGTTCTTAATTGTTATAGTAAATACAGCAGCTTATATATACATGTGTGTGTCACCAATAACACCTATCTACTAATTTTCCTTTCATCTTTAGCTCCTTCAATTGATAATTTGGTTTTTAGGAGAATCTAAGCAGTGCATCACACGAAAATCTTTTGTCACGGGTAAGTAATTAAAGCCAGCTCTTCTTCCTAATGCCCTGTTTTCATGTATAGATATAGTTCTTTAGGACCTTTTTTGTTTATTTTTCCAGATCTTCTGCATGTTTATTCATTTGCTATTATTATTAAACCCCCTTCATATCTAATATTTTATATTGCACTTGCTGATAAACCAATTGCTTGCGGAATCTCTCCTGAATCAGTTTGATTCTAATCCATCATTATTTAATTGTATACAAGGGCTTATTTTAAGTAGCTTTTCTTTGGACAATTCTATTTTTTCCCTTTAGTTTGGACTTATTCCCTTCTTTTGACTTTAATCACCAATACATCTATCTATAATCATAAGATAGAACTTAATTTAAATCTTTCTCCACTTCAAAATTTAATTTAATTTAAATTTATTAGTAAAAACACAAGAACGATTCAAATTAATTCTAATTTTAACTCAACGGTCTAGATTTTATTTAATTCTTTAAAATGAATTTAATGGCCCACATTCTATCTCACATAAAAAAAATTCTCGCCCAAATTACATTCAGACTGCTTACCAGTCCAGTCACCTCACACCCTTCTGCCATGACTCATGGCCCAACACAACTACCCAGTCACTCTTCTTCAACGCCTCACAGAAAACCCATTTTCTCTCTCTCAACCAATCCTTCTCACAACACAGCGCCCAGGTTCAGCCTCTCACTCCTCTGCCAGCGGCGATCAACACAGCTCAGCCCAGGTATCTCCTTCTCCCCCTCTCTTTCTCTCTCTCCAATCGCTCAGCAGCACAATATGACCGACTTTTGCTATGTATCATCTGCTGTGTATCAAAGGTCCATTTGTTTGCTAATTAACCAAAACTCTTAAATATGAGGAATAGGGAGAGTCATGAGACTCCAGATCAGGTCCCTTAATTTAATTTTTTTTTCTTTTTGGATGGTGGAAAATGGGGTTTCATTTGGTATGATGGGTATAAAGGATTCTTTGTGACAGGTTTTTGATTTGGCCTGTGTGAGTTCCCGGAATTTGAGGTTGCATGTTAGATTTGTGAGGACTTTTGTAGCTAATAGGTTTTTGATTTAGATTTGTGAGGACTCTCTCTCTCCCATTCCTTATTCTACTGAACACCATGAAGTGTGATTCATTGTTTAGATTTTCTTTATTCCATTCCTTAGCAAGGTTTATCCAATCTGATTTTTATTCCATCGTTTTTTTTTGTTTGTTTGTTTTGATCATATTTCCGAGTCATCTCTCACTTCTTAGAGCTTTCTCTGTGTATCCATGGATTTTTTCCATCTACGTATCGGCTTTTTGTAGGAGTTCTAGCAACTTCTAATGCATTTATGAAAGGTTTTTGTATATATCAACAATCGAATTTCTAATTGACCTGGTAGTGAATTTGAAGTATTTCCAATACAGACTGTTTATTACTTTCCTGGTTGATTTTCACTTTTCTTTGACATTTTTCAAGACCTCTTTATTGTTAATCTTAAGCATTCATCTGGAGATGGTTGGGGTCCTTGGGACTTTATTCCTTTAGATTTCAATTTATGCAAGCTTCTAAAAATATTAGATTTTTCAACTGGGTTTATTTTTTTTTTTTTTTCCATTTTTGATCTCTATTTAGCATTTCATTGAGAGCATTGGGTTTTAAGTAGTTTGATGTAAATATTTTTTGGAGAATAGAATGGAAGACTTAGTTGTTCTCCTTCACAAGTTTATTCTTCTTTTTCCATTAATTTTTTTTAGTTTTTCTGGGTGTTCCAAGATGAGCATGCTACGTAAATTAAACCATTATTTTTTTTGGTTTAATTATCAGGAGTGTATTGACCACCTTATGTACATTTCGATTAATTCACTCTTTAGTCCGGTCAAAAACAAATTATCAATGTCAAGACTAGGGTATTCAAGGAGTTGCTATGTATTAAAGGTCCATATAGAAGCAAGATAGGTTTCTACTATTTTTTTATTCCTGATTTCTATTTTGTTTTTTCGTAAGCAAATAATATGACATTGATGGCAAAAAAAAAGCAAAATCAGTTTGTTTTTTCGTAGGCAAATAATATAACATTGGTACTTATTAAACAAATAATATAACCAAATCATCATCAACCTTTGTCCCCTAGCTTTTTGGCCTTTTGTTTAACACCGAAACTCCATCTTAGTTTCTGTCGATCACTTACAGCAACCAACTTTATGAAATTCTTGCAACCCACGGCAAGCCAATTCCATCCTATCCACCCCATGACATTTGTTCAACAATGTGGAACCAAAATCTACAAGTTTTACATATAGAGTTGTCATAATCTAATCACAGGCAACATTATCTATGTTGCCGACAGCTTCTTCGATATTTCTTGAGGGATATATCTCACTCTATATCTCTCTCTCACACACACATAGATCAGCACATCTGCACACAACCACACACTGCACAGTAGTTTTTGAATGTTTGTGTATACAGGGGGTTTTAAATTTTACTTTTTAAAATTTTGGTGTTTAATTTGGGTGTCTTTTTTAATCCTTGCTTTAATGATTTTTTAAATGTTAGGTTATTTTTTTTAATTGGGTGTCTTTTAATTTGGCTGTTATAGTTATGATGAAATAAGTTATTTTTTTTAATTGGATGTCTTTTATAGTTGGTTATTATTGAGTATTCATTTTGTGTAATTTGTAGGCTAATTTTGGTTGTCATTTTGTGTATGTATTAGGTTTGATTAAATGCATGTTAATTGAAAGAAATTTCATTATAATTGATGTTAATTTCATAGTTGAAATTTCATTGTAATTGATGTTAATCATTGTAATTTTACTGTGTAGTCACCACCGTTTCAACTGCACAATCATCGACCGATGGATGATGTCATTATTTTTGGTTGTGTAAGTTTATCATCTGATTAACTCTCTCTAAACATTTCTTATTGATTTTTTTAATAACTTATTTATTTTGATTTATCTTCATTAATGTCATGACAGATGAACAACGATCTAAAAAATACTGTATGATAAGTTTTTCTTACTCATCATTTTATTACTTTTTTTCTAACCTTTTTACCCTGCTTATTTACTATTCAACCTTTTTATCTAGAAAAATTTTTATCTAACCGTTTTATTTAACCTTTATTATCTATAGGTTCGAAGACTTCGTCATAATAATGTAGAAGTAATAATTCGTAATGAGTATGAACTAAATCGTCTCCGTATACGTGAGGTAGAATTACCTCACACCTCTTTCTCATTCATTTTTTTTCCCTGTTAAGTAGCATTTTCTTACACCCCATACATAATCTATAATAGAAGGAGAAAAAAAGGTCTAATGCATTAGCAAATGCCAAATTTAAAGGGAAAGAAAAAGAAACCTCTTCTAATCTTTTCAACATTTTAATTTTTAATTTTACGAAGATGTTCATTCTTTATAGGATTGAAGTGAATTTGTCAAAGAGAACGATAGAGTATATACAATGGACTTTTGTGAATGGAGCCGGCGTAATCAGGTAAATCTACTCTTACTTCATTTATTCAAAGTAACTTTACTATTCCTATAATATATATATTGTGTTAATTTTATTGTTTATGTGAATAATTTAGGTGGTTGTGCATCCCTCCATTGGGCAAAGTGTGTTCGTATTGATACGAGAACATTAAGGATAGAGATGAAGAAAAGGTTTAAAGGGATGAAAAGGAGAGTTATTGAAAGATGACATTATTTCTAAGAAAACTCAAACGATCTGCAATCCAGTACTGATGTCCACTTTTGATGATGGCTAACCCACCATTGATCAAATATTTATCCAAGTGTGAAAGCTTCTCTTATTGAGGATTTATATATTCCTCTACTTCTCATGCAGCCACACAACACACACACACACACAACTGTAATCAATCAAATACTCGCAAATTGAACTCACACACCATTGTACTGCCACCAATAAAGATTTATGATTGAAATTATTAGGCAAATGAATCGTTTGTTAAAATGCTACTAAGAAAGACTTATTTGATTGTTAGTCTTTCTCTACACTACTCCATATTTTTTCCTAAATAAATTGCTAATTTGTTACGATCTCTCTAAATTTTTACTTATATCAATCTAAATCATTCTCTCTCCCCCACTACATACAAATGTGTGTGCTCATTTGTTTTTTAGATAATTCAAGGTAATGGAATTAATGACAATAATTATGTATTATCCATATGTTTTGCCTCACGTATTTTGATAATTGTTTTATTTTGTCATATTTCGATAATTTTTATATTTCAAATATTTTCAGGTATACATTGAAGGATACTTAGTGTACGCTATAAAGAAGATGAAGTTATTTCTCTATTTGTGCATGTGTGTATTTTTTTTGTTCCGTCTTTTGTAAAGTTAACTAATTATGCATGGTTTTGATAATTTTAGATATGAAATGATGGTTGTTTTGATGGTTAGGTATGTATTGATGATTGTAATGATATAGTGTATTATGATGATTGTTATTGATGATTGTAAATTTTGTAGACAGGTTTACATTTTTTTGGGTTTCTATTTTTAAAGGAAATTTTGCCTAAATTTTTTAAAATTAGTAGGGAGTAGCTTGATATTTTGGTGGTTGGACATGTGTTGATGAGTAGGTATATATTAATTAGTACACACGGTATGGTGAATTATGATGATTGTTATGTTTGATTGTAAAATCTATAGATACGTTGTTTTAAGTTGCAAATAGGTAATGTAGTATTTTTTGAATTTTAATCTAATTTTTCGTTATGCTGTGTCTTCAAGCACAGATAATTACTAGTGTATATATAAAAAAAAGTATATTTAACCATAGATTTATTTTCGTGAGTGCGTCTTGCATGGATTATTTGTTACTCGGCCAGTGATTTATCATATCAGTCAGTGGAAATAAAACGCATATTATTCCTTTTCAAAAACAAAAAAAACTTACTATTAATTATCATCACCAAATAATTTAACGACTGAGATCATTTTTTA